GCGTGAGGGGGAACAAAAGCTAAAGAGGCCATTAGAAGGCAGTTCTACGGCAAAAGGAAGACCTTTCTCTCTGTCTCTCTCTCACTGTCCACTCTGCCTGTCAAAAAAAATAAAAAATAAAAAAAGTCCCTCACTTTTTTTTTTTTTTTGACAGGGAGAGTGGACAAAGAGAGAGACAGAGAAAGGTCTTCCTTTTGCCGTTGGTTCACCCTCCAATGGCCGCTGTGGCCGGTGCACTGCGGCTGGTGCACCGCGCTGATCCGAAGGCAGGAGCCAGGTGCTTCTCCTGGTCTCCCATGGGGTGCAGGGCCCAAGCACTTGGGCCATCCTCCACTGCACTCCCTGGCCACAGCAGAGAGCTGGCCTGGAAGAGGGGCAACCGGGACAGAATCCAGCGCCCTGACCGGGACTAGAACCTGGTGTGCCGGCGCCGCAGGCAGAGGATTAGCCTAGTGAGCCGCGGTGACGGCCTCACATTCTTGTTGGTTAACTTTGTAGAAAGCTGGAGAGCATTCAGACTAAATTCTCAGCACTTGAATTTAGGAATATTTGTAACAACTTGGCTTTATCAAGCTTAAGGGGTGGGGGGATTAGTAACAGCCTCACATTCACCAACCCACGCAGGCCCAGACCTCCTTGCCCAAAGAGCGGCCAGACACAGTGCACACCTCGGCTGCCCGGCATGCCACGCCATGCCATGCCTTTCCGACTCAGGTGAGGACTTTTCTGCCCAGGGGCTATTGTTCCTGTCTGTCCATCCAGGAGCCCTACCTCTGCAGAAGCAGTGCCCAGCAAAGAAAAAGAGCACCGATTCCCTGAGCAGCCTCCATAGTCGGAGAAGGAGAGGCTGAACAGTGTGATCACAGCTATCAAGCCTTGCACGGAGGGCCTGAGTCATTCCAGCCACTGAGTTGTATCATCTCATGTAACTCTCACAGTAGCCCCACAGAGGCAGCCATCATGTCCCCTTATTTCTAGACTGCTTAGGAAACAGAGTCAGTTATCAGCTGCCTGCAGTCCCACAGCTGGTCAGTGACAGGACGGCATTGGAATCCCTGTGCTCAGGACCCTAAAGGGTGTTTTTCCATTAACTGTGCTGCCTCCCAGACCTTCAGGAGGTCCCTCTGCATCCAACTCACACCACCTGTCCCTATCCTCAGCCGGGGTCAAAACTAGCTGCCACTTGCCACAAACTAGGATTGAAGCTGGTTTTTGTTTCTAAGTGGCTCTTTTGTTTAAAAGTTTGTTCATGGGCACTGTCTCATTCTTAAAGAAATAATTCTACTCTGTCATGGTTTAATTAGTCACTACTGACATCACTTATGTTACTGAATCAGAAAGAGCTGAGTTCAGACTAGCGTCAGGAACCACAGCTCTATTTTCAAAAGGCATAGCAATTTATCTTCCTTTCATAAAGGCAGATGTAAAAATGCCAATGGGTAGGGATTTCTTATTATAGAGTGATGTCTAAAATTAGATTATGGTGATAGCTTCATAATTCCCTGACACTACAAACTCATTAAACTGTAAATTTCAAATGGGTCAATTTTACTGTATGTGAATTATATCTTAATAAATGCTTTAAAAAAGAACACAGAAGAGATTTGATTGCTTGTTTAAACAGAAAGTAATTAGGGCAAAACTATTCATTTTAACATTTCATTTCTTCCATTAGTTTACTCTCATTGAAGTATCAAATAACAGATGCAAGAGCAAACTTTATGCAAACCTTACAAACACATAAAGCTTACCAATAAACTCAGGTGATGACCTCACACTCTATAAAGCGATTAGCCATGGGCCTCTTAAATACAGCTCACACACACACACTAGAAACAAATGACAATCAGTGCACAAACCACTTCTGGGCAACCCATTCAACATTCAGAGCAAGAATTAGAAACACATTTAAAAAACCCCTGCCATCAGGAATATGAGGACCACATATACCTTGTGACAAGGAACCAAGCAATTTTGCTGAAGTCTGGAGAGGGCCTCATGTAGGTCTTAATATGTGGCATGGCGTTGCTGCGGCCAGATGTCTCGGCTGACCATTTGCTAGTGACAGGGCAGACACAAACCACTGGTTAGAAGATAGCACAAATCAGTCACGATCCTAATATGAGGAAACTGCGTGACCTGAAAGCTGCCGAGCACACGGTTCCGTGCCCTGTATTTTAGTGAGCTCCGTTCAGATAATGGATACATGCAGACGTATTTTAGAGTGCAGGCATGTAGAAAAAGAAAATTTGCCACTAGCCACAAACAAACCACGACACCCTCGTGGCACACAGCCTTCCTCTTTTTCTCCATGAATGTGTGCTTTAACTGACTGTGAGCTCCTTAAAGGCAAGACTTGTGCTCTCTCAGTGCACTGCTGAGCAGAAAACTCAAAGTCTCAGCAAAACAAAATGCAAAATAGGCAAATACAACAGTGTATCAAGATTAAATGTTGAAGCCGGCGCTGCGGCTCACTAGGCTAATCCTCCGCCTAGCAGCGCCGGCACACCGGGTTCTAGTCCCGGTCGGGGCGCCGGATTCTGTCCCGGTTCCCCCTCTTCCAGGCCAGCTCTCTGCTGTGGCCAGGGAGTGCAGTGGAGGATGGCCCAGGTGCTTGGGCCCTGCACCCCATGGGAGACCAGGAAAAGCACGTGGCTCCTGGCTCTTGCCATCGGATCAGCGCGGTGCACCGGCCGCAGCGCGCCGGCTGCGGCGGCCATTGGAGGGTGAACCAATGGCAAAGGAAGACCTTTCTCTCTGTCTGTCTCTCTCACTGTTCACTCTGCCAGTCAAAAAAAAAAAAAGATTAAATGTTGAAAGGCAGGCAGATAATTCAGAAATGCTTCCAATGCTGCTACGGCCGCATCTGAGCTTTGTTTCCAATGCCGTGGGACTAAGGTCCATGGGAGTGATGGCCTGTGGCAGCGATTCTTCTATAGGCCACATGAGGTGGCCCCTCGCCATCACAATGCTCTGTGAGAGCAGAGCCATGACCAGTTCCAGCGGACTGAGTAACACAGCACGAGGAAGCGTTCTCAGGGAGCAGCAGAGAGGTGTGCAGGGCAACACGCTGGTTACAGCGGAAAGCTCCTGCCAGGAGCCCTGCTTCAATGTCCGGCTAAGCAGGGCAATGAACACCTGTGCCGCCAGCATGAGACTGGGACTGGCCTGGCGCGACTGCTGTGGCTGGGGAGGGAGGACGCAGGGCACTCCTCGCGCGCATCCGTGTATCAGCCACTCGCTCAGCTTTCAGGACACTGTGCACCGTCCAGTGTCCTGGGCCTCTGCCCTCGGTGAGCCTGCAGCCACCGATCGGACGATGGTGCAGACACAGTGACCACATTTTATGTTTTGGAAAAATGAACTAAAACACTGTTTCTGTAAATTATAAACCACCCAGCACGATCTTTTATTTATCTTTTTCTCTGAATGCCAATATTTAAATAGAAACTTCACAGAGATAAATTTTACCCTGTGGTATTAAAAACCTATTCCAAGAACATTTTAAAACCTTGTTTTAAATTATTTCTACCACTAGCATATGTAGATGAAAGAATATAGCTATATTACATAAGGTTCTTTTAAAAAAATGAAAAAAACCACCAGACCGACATAAATAACATTCATATTCCTAAAGAAGCAACAGCAGTATTCTAAACCAATTACTTACTGAAAATAGGAATGCAGCCAATTCTGTTTTTCAGCTGTCTGGATGCTATAGGGAAGAGAGCCCCCAGCTTTTAAAAGAAAAACAAAAAAAATGATAAAAATTAGGAAATATAACTTAAAACTCCCTAAGAAGAAAATCTGTAATAAACATCATGTTGGAAGGTAAACAAAACACCACTGCCATTATTTTATCTTATGGAATAGTTCTTTGAATGAAAATGTCTATATTTGCATTTGGTATGTACTGTTAAAGGGGTTTCCTTTCTCAGGAGTGATAAATATTTAAATAGATGTTTACTATCAAAAAAATACAAGGGTATTTCTAAATCACGTGATGGTGGTAACTTAACAGCTGTAGCAGCAAAGACTGGAGCTGCTGGAAGAGCACTGGTAGGACTGTGGCCCACAATACCCCCGAGGCAGATCACAGACGTGAGTGGGGAGCCTCTCTTTGCCTAGGACCACAACCCTGTTGGGCCGTGCAGGGTGCTACCTCAGTTCTGTCGACTTTACCTGCACACACTGCTGCTTCCAAACAGACTTTGTACTAGCTGAACAGATTCTTATAGAATGCGAGGAGTGGAAACTGAGTTAAAATGTTGAGTAAGTAGCTCAGTTTTTTAAAAAGGAATTTTAAAGGCCTCATTCGTACAAAGGGAATCAAGACAGTTCCAGTGGAAACGTACTTAGAAGCCAATTTCTGTTCCTCTCTGAGAGGAAGAGAACTCCCACTGCAGATGCATCAGTGATTTCCCAGACACGCTCTGGAACCTCTCCACAGTGAGCTACACCCAGAGGGGGCCGTCAGCAACTCCAGTGTATCCAATCAGGTGCCTATCTCCTACCACAAATGACTATAAACATTCTCAGCTTTAGAACTAGTCATAAAATAGCTTTATTGAAAAACACAAAATTCTTTCCATTAAAAGCACACTTAGAATGGATCCAGCTATTAGAGGTAAAGAATGAAGACAAAAGAAAAACTATCACCACGTCCCAGAGTCTCAGTGAGATAATTTCATATTTGCCATTAAAAGCAACAAATGGGCCCTATATTCCAAACACTACTGATATGTTTCTGGCAGGGCACACTGAGTTCGATAAGCAGTAAGTGAATGTGATAGTCTAATTCAGGGCATTCTGCTTTTAGACACCAGTGAACGTCAGCCCAACACTGCTCTCTCCAAAGGCACACACCATTTGGGCTTTTAGTTAATACATCCTGATTGCACTATCCAGGGTGTTGCTGAATTCCAGATAGAAGTTTAGTGCCTAGTAATGGCACAAAGGAAATGGAGATGAGGTCTCACAGTTGTCTGGCAAAATAATCCTAGGCATCTGCAGATGATGACCTTGACATAATGGACATATGAACAGATTATACCAAAGGAAATACCATGCATAAATTCTGGAACTTGAGAAATGTTCATGGAAAAATGGAATTAAAAGGTCAATTTAGGGGCTGGCACTGTGGCACAGCAGGTTAAGCCACTGTCTGTGACACCAGCATCCCCTATGAGCACAGGTTTAAGTCCCAGCTGCTTTACTTCCAGTCCAGTTCCCTGCTAATGTACCTGGGAAAGCAGTGGACGATGCCCCAAGTATGTGGACCCCTGCCACCCATGAGGGAGACTTGGATGGAGTTTAAGACTCCTAGCTTCAACCTGGCTGTTGTGGTCACTTGGGGAGTAAACCAGTGAATAGAAAATATCTGTCTTTCTAACTCTGTCTTTCAAATAAATGAATAAATCTTTTCTTAAAAAGGTGAAGTTAATTTTGCACTTCATCTCTGTATCAGGAATTTAAATGTGAAAGAACTGTCTAGTTTCTCAGACACAGGCAGGGAGGATGCTAGGAGAGGTAAGAGGAAGGTTAAGTTCGAAATGCTCTGAAGATACTGAATAGTGGGAGAACGAATGTTATTTGGACATCTGGTCTGGGCACCAACTTGCTGGTTACCTTATTAGTGAAAACGAGAAGAGCACTGGTGTACCGCGTGAGCAGCTGTGAAGGTTACACAATACCCCATACTGCCCACCTGTGGAACACAGCAGAGCTCCTATCACCAGGGAACCTTCTGTACATTTCTAATCAATACTGCTAAAAATTTTGCCAGGGCATCTATGGAACATACACAAAAAGCACAAATGAGGGCTTCCCTGATAATTACCAGGATATCCTTCTAAGCTGGTCCGCACATTTTCCACAGAAGGATAGATCTAAAAATAAAAAGAGAAAAAAATTGGAATGTATCATGTTGAAGGAATGATGACCAGCTTTTAGGAAAAATCACTGGGGTGGGCATTTGGCCTAGCGGTTAGGTCACAGTTAAGATGCGTATGTCCCTGTGGAATGCTCTGGCTACTGCCTCTAGCTTCCTGATACCCAGCTCTGGGTACTGATTCCAGCTTCTTGCTAATGAGCACCCTGGGAGGCAGCTCCAGCAGTTGGGTTGCTGCCACCTACATGGGAGATCTGGATGAACCCCGGGATCCTGAGTCTGGCCCTGACCATCACAGGCAACAGGGGACTCAGTCAATGGATGAGACCTCTTCTGTCTCTTGAATAAACAATAAAAAAAATACTTAGTTTAGAAACTTGGAAAATAAGCCTTAGATTTTTAAATGTTCCCATCTTACTGAAGAAACTGAACTTCTAGTAGTAATTAAACTACAGGAAGCACAAATGTATTATATTTTGGTTAGAATTTTTTCTTCTTCTGAAAGGTCAAGTTAGCACTGAATTAAATGCAAAATTAATTATTAATTCCCAGGTCTTTAAATAAATAGTTAACAATACTTGTAACTCTATTGGCCATGTTATGCCAAGTATGGTTTTTCCTTGGTTTGACAACCCCAAAGAATGGTAAATCATAGGCTGGTTTGTGGCTGGCATGGGGTTCCTGCACACACCCCCAGCTCTCAGCACGGATACCGTTGGACGCAAGGGGTGATGCCGGCACACCACTCTTCCCGTCCCCACACTGCAGCATAGCACCTCTCTCTACGACAAGCAGCACTGAGTCTCAGTTCCTCTCCCGGGATAAAAATGAATTAACCTGAGGACGAGGGGAACTCACCAAATGCAGAGGAACGGTGCTTTTCCCTGCAGTCCTGCTTGCCTGCCCCAGGGTCAGCAAACTCTCTTTAAACTCCGAGCAGAGCCACTTTGACTCATCAGCCCCCAAGGAGCCAATGCTAGAAAACTGGCCCACGATGGGCCAGGACTCGGCCTGGGGGACGGACGAGGTGTGTTCTTTCAGAAGCTATGAAAGAAGAAAGGTGAATGCTACAATCACTCAAATCATCTAACAGAAATGCTACAGTACCTAAAAACACAGACTTCAGCTCTTGGAATGCCTCATTAACAAGGAAATGCGGAAAATATTAGTGAACAATTTCACACCCATATATCCATTTTTCTTCTTTGGGAGGTATTTTTGAAACACAATGTAGGTAGACAGTTTACCTTTCCAAAATTCCTTGGTTTGTACTAAAAGCAAAAATGGATAAATTTTCTAAAAGATCCATTTTAGTAGAAATGTCAGATAAACAACTGAGCTGTGGTATGAAATTACGTTTCTATCTGGAAATCATAACAGCTTAACACACCTAGCCAATTCCCAAACGATGAAACCTCTGCATCTTTTGTCTCCTATTATTTGAAAGAAGCTTGATATCCCCAGTTTACCATTTGGGCTCCGAGTACCTGTGACGATTTAAAAACAAAGGAATAGAATTATATTTGGATCTACACTACCTAAGGCACTGGAGAAGACTGATCTGCATATGTTGCTCGGGTATTTATGCAAAGCTGCAGGAATGATTCAGAAAACATTTGAAACTGTATCTACTTAAACATGTCTCAGCTTACCCAGAGGCCAGACAGGAAGAAGAGTAAGTGACTGCTGCAGCCCCCCGGGAGCTCAAATTCTGATGGATGTTTTGTTATTCACACATTTACCAGAGCCCAGTGCTCCACCTCCTCCCTGGGTGCAGCACAGTGCAGGAAGCAGAACTGTACTGGCAATTCTTAAGACCTGGTTTCTACTGAACCTGAACCATGCTTCCAGACAAGTCCCTGTGCTGTGATGTATGCGTCTGGGAAAGCAGGCTCTGGAGCATCTACCTGTCTTCCTAAAGCAGATAGCTGGGATGCATCATCAGCTACTGGGTATGAAACATGTTTCTGAAAACTCTTAAGAACCATCAGTAGACAAATAACCACTCATGCTTACAGAACACTTACCATGTGCTTACTTCCACTGCTCTCTTTTTTTTTTTGACAGGTAGAGTTATAGACAGTGACAGAGACAGAGAGAAAGGTCTTTCTTCCGTTGGTTCACTCCCCAAATGGCCTCTACGGCCGGAATTGCACTGATCCAAAGCCAGGAGCCAGGTGCTTCCTCCTGGTCTCCTGTGCGGGTGCAGGGCCCAAGTACTTGGGCCATCCTCCACTGCCTTCCTGGGCCACAGCAGAGAGCCAGACTGGAAGGAGAGCAGCCAGGACTAGAACCAGCGCCCATATGGGATGCTGGCGCCGTAGGCAGATTAACCAAGTGAGCCACAGTGCCAGCCCCTACATTCACTGTTTAATTTAATCTTTACACAATCCTGGAGAGAAGTATCATTATTCTGTCCATTTAAATGTTTTATTTATCTATTTTCTTTATATTTGAAAGGCAAAGAGACATAGGAAGTGATTGCTTCAGATGCCTGCAATAGCCAGGGCTGGGTCAGCATGAAGTCAGGAGCCTAGAACTCCATCTGGGTCTGCCACGTGGGTGGCAGAACTCCAAGTCCTTGGCAATGACCTGCTGCCTCTCAGGGTGCATAGCAGGAAGCCAAATCACAAGTGGAAGAACTAGGACCTGAACCAGGCAATCCAATATGGGACATGGGTATCCTAACTATCTACTTCATATGCCCATTTTTGTAGATGGCAAGAGAGGCGGTTAAGGAACAAGTCAAGGCCACATGGTTCATAGACAATGGGGCAGGGTTTGAGTCCAGGAGTTGGAATCTACTTCCAAAGTGAAGCAGACAGCCAGGGTGTTCTCCTCCTTCCCATCTAGGTCAAGGTACAAAGACGTTGCCTTCGGGATATTGTTTGATTTAAGCAGCATTGTCTTTTCAAAAAGAAAATTAAAATGAAAAACTTTTATTAACCAAGGGAGTCTTACACTACATATATAATTTGCAGAATAAAAGGCAAGGTTTTGTCTTTAAGATTTATTTATTTATTTACTTGAAAGGCGGAGAGATAGGGAAAAACAGGAAGAGAGAAAGAGAGAGAAGTATCTTCCATCTACTGGGTTCACTCCCCAAGTGTCTGCAACAGCCAGGGCTGGGCCATACTGAAGCCAGGGGCCCCAGCTAGGTCTCCCACAAAGCTGGAAGGGACCCAAGTACCCACTGCTTTCCCAGGAGCATTAGCAGGAGTGGAGCAGCCGGGGTTAGAACGAGCACTCCGATATCCGATCAGAAAGGCTCGTGTCATAAGCAGCAGCTTAACCCACTGTGCCACACTCTGGTCCCTACATAAGGTTTTTAAGAAAGTCATGTTAGGGAATTTGTTAAGGTTGGTAAACTAAAGTTTAATCTTGAACTTGCTTGTTGTGCTCTCTTGTTAAAGATCTTTCTATGTTTATTTTCATACCAGCAGCAAGTAATAAACAAAGCACATTACAGCTCATTTGTCACCTTTACTTAACACTATTTTCTGTTCTATGCCCAACTTGTAAGTGAAGAATCTTTGACATGCCAAACAATCTAAAGCTATATGGAAGAACCTCAACTAGACATGAAGTCAAGAATTCTTTTGGTGCTAAAAAGTTTGAAATTCAGTTTTTCAAAATAATGTATTTTCTATGAACTTTTTGAAGACCCTACATATGCATGGATTTCAAATTTTTCGGCACCAAAATAAATTTATCTTTTATTCCAGTTTTCATAGGCTTTTTGAAGTATCCTCATATTTGTATGAATGCGAAGTCTCTAATAATCTTTATTACAAGAAATACAAAAAACTAAACAAGTCCATACACTTATGTTATTTATAATGATCTAAAAAATCAAAGAGGCAAAACAAAACATGAAAAAGCAAGGTCTGGCTGCCACTTGGGATGACCACATCCCAGACCAGAGTGTCTAGGACTGAGTCCTGCCGCCACTTGCAATGCAGCTTCTTGCTAATTCACCGGCAGCAGGTGACAGTCCAAGTACGTGGGCCCCTGCCAACCACGTAGGAGACCTGGCCTGGCTCCTGGCTTTAGCCTCGTCAAGCCCTGGCTGTGGGCACGTAGGAAGTGCATCCAGCAGATAAAGAAATCTCTCTTTCTCTGTCTCACTGTCACTCTGCCTTTCAAACAGGTACACAAATAAATCTAAAAAAAAAAAAAAAAAGGTAAAAACTAGAATCAAGACAATTTATCAAATGCTTGACATTCTCGCAAAATTCTACTAGAGATATTGTGAAGCTGCCATCAAGATACAATTATAAATGAAAAAAAAAATATACATTTTTAAGCAATGTTAAAATGGAATAGGTTCTGTTACCTTCCTCAGCCTAAAATGTCCCCAATTATCTTTTTGATTTCCTTGAAAGCGTCCCGGGGTTGAACCAATAAGGTAAACGCTAAAAAAGATATAAAACACAAGTTACAGAACATAGTGATACGCTTTGTCACCTAAAAAAAAATCACAAAATACACAAAAAAACTGCAATGATCAAGAAACGTTTCTGTGATGCCACCTAAACTGTAGTGATTGATACTCATTTTCAAGCAAACCGACCAACAGTGGAACGTCTGCATGGGGTAAGCTAGCAAGCAAAGGAACTCCAAGCTTTAGAGAACCTCAGGGGCCGCTTAGGGCAGCAGCAAGGTCCCAGGCTGCCACTCTGATGTTCACGAACCACAGGTGCAGACGGACAGCGTCTGTCCTCAGCCTCACGGCAGCGCAGGCACAGCCGAGCACCACTGCACCTCTCCCCAAGGCCCGCATCGCAGCCGCCACGGGGCACGCATGGCAGAGCTCCATCCCGCACCCCAGGCTGATGAGGAGCTGACACGCACTTTGTTTCAGAGAGGTCATGCCCATGGATGGTGTCTATCCACTCCTGGAGAGAAGGAGCATTGTAAGCCATCAAATAACTGATGAGATCAGCTTTAAAATGTGTTGTCGATTCTCCAGATCTGTGGGTTCCATGGACAAGTCGTGGGTACAAGGGGCTCAACCATATCCTGGAACAGAAAAAAAAAACAAAAAAACAAAAAACACCAAAACCTTTAGCAGTCAGGAGCACAACTGATCACAAGGATGCTTCTGTACTGACTGTACACCCGCCATCAGGAACAGGCACACTCTCCCCATACACCTTCCCATGGTAAGAACAGTGAGTCAGGAAGTACAAAAACGCAATCTAGGGCAGGTGCTGTGTCACAGCAGGCTACGTCATTGCTGGGAAGTCCACATCCTACATCACAGTGCCTGGAATTGAAACCCGTCTCTACTTCTGATCCAGCTTTCTGCTGATGTGACTGGGAGGCAGATGATGACACAAGGACTCGGGTTCCTGCCGCTCACTTGGGACACCCACATGGTCTTGGCTCTGGGCTAAGGTCTGGCCTAGCCCTGACTGTTGCAGGCATTTAGGAGCAAACCAGTGCGTGAAAGATCTCTCTCTCCCTTTCATTCTTTCAAATAAATAAAAAAATCTTAAAAAAAATCTGATCAGATTGTTCCAATGGCTCTTTTTTTATTTTTAATTATTTATTCTTTTTTTGACAAGCAGAGTGGACAGTGAGAGAGAGAGACAGAGAGAAAGGTCTTCCTTTTGCCGTTGGTTCACCCTCCAATGGCCACTGCAGCTGGCGCACTGTGGCTGGCGCATCGCGCTGATCCAAAGGCAGGAGCCAGGTGCGTCTCCTGGTCTCCCATGGGGTGTGGGGCCCAAGCACTTGGGCCATCCTCCACTGCACTCCCTGGCCACAGCAGAGAGCTGGACTGGAAGAGGGACAACCAAGAAAAGATCTGGTGCCCCAACCGGGACTAGAACCCGGTGTGCCGGCGCCGCAGGGCGGAGGATTAGCCTAGTGAGCTGCGGCGCCGGCCAATATATCTTAATAAAAAAAAAAAAAAAAAAAAAAAAAAAGGACCCAGTAGGACCTGGCCTCTGCCTCCATCTTCCAACCCATACCCCTCTGAGCTTCCTCATTCACCCTCCATCCTTCCCTCCCGTATTCCTCCTCTCACCTCCACACTTCCATGTTGCTTTCTAAGACTTGATGACAAAGGTTAACTCCTAATCCATACCATTTGTCGTAATCCCAACCAGAATCTACCCACGACTACATCAATGTACCTCTTGAACAAAATGAGAACTAAGAACCAAGTTATCTATACTAAGGAAAATGTTAAGTCTTTTAGATCAACTGACTTTCATAAAGTATACACCAAATCATCCTGAAATATTCTCATATTCTAGACTGGAGTCAGGAATGAGTACATACCACTTAATGACATGTCATTAACACTAACCGCAGATTTTCAAATACTTAATTCAGTGAAGAAACATTACAGACATCTTTCATTTCTCAAATATTTTTTCCCAAATGAAATCAAGGCACTTGGCACAAAACATCTCCATTGTGCCCACAAATGGAAAACCACAATATCTAAAGTCAATCCTATAAAACACTCCATGGTAGACTTCAAAATAAAAAGTGTGGCTTCCAGGCTCTGTGCTTCAGGCCCACTCAACTGCAACACGAGGCTGACGCTCCTGCCTCTCGGGGCTGCTGCTGAAGCTCACGCGAGGCAATGCAGAGTATGTGCCTAGAGTACTCAGAAAGAACCAGCTGTTGCTGCCTTCCCCCTTCTGCGGGGACTTCCAGCACAGCCCTAACCATTACACCAGAGAAACCGCCCAGTTCCTCTTCAACCTCTGCCTGAAAACATACAGTGAGATGTAGACCGCTAAGGCAGGAAGCATGCACAGAAACAAGGACGCTGGCTGTGCGGCCTCAGAACTCTGGTGTTCCCAGCCGGTGGCACTGTCTACACACCCTTCCCACCTTGGGGAGACCCTTAGCACAGCAGGTGATGTGGTGTGGCAAGGGCTGGAGGCAGGGCTCTGGACCCACATCTGCCTCCAGCTGGCTTGGCCATTTGGGACAGGCCCAGCGATTTCTCCAGGGCTTTTGCTCCGAAGATGCAAAATAACTGGGTTGGGCCCACAGGCTGCATGAGGGCTCCCCCTGGATTAGTTACTCGGGGGATCATACTGAATGAGGAACGGGACACAAGATGACTTTTCTACACGAGGATGCTGAGCCACAAGGCAGATTTAACACTTCATAGAACAAGATGAGAAACTTAGGAGGCCAAATGATGCACTAAGTGGGGAATCACCAGCAGCCGAGGAGGCAGACTGGAGCCACTGCACAGCAGAAAGGACTGCAGAGCCGGGGTAGACCAAGGACAAAGGTTATGCATAAAACACACCTGCTGCTCAAAGTTGAAAACCTTTTACCATGACTGGCTACACGAAACTGCTAAGTACCAGCCAGAGAGGAGCAGACTACGCATGAAATATCACACCACACAAGGGCGGAGGGAGGCAGGAGGGAGATTTCATATCCGTGGTACCTTTTGAGTTTTGAATCACACGAAGCAACTAATTAATAATATTCTTAAAAATCCTAGCTATGGGTGGGCATTTGGCACAGTGGTTAACGCATCTCTTGGGACATCCACATTCCATATCAGGATACACAGGTTCAAGTCCTGCTTCCACTCTTGATTCCAGCTTCCTGCCAGTGCAGATCCTTATTATCCACATGGAACACCTGGATTGAGTTCCTGGCTCCTGGCTTTGGTCTGGTCCAGCGCTGGCTATTGCCAGCATCTGAGAAGCTAATTGGTGAATGGGAGATCTCTTCTCTCTTTCAAATAAGTAAATTAATTTAAAAATTTTCCAAAAATTTTATTTTTACCCAAGGAATAATGTAACACCAAAGCTCTTATCTCACAGTAACTATCCTAGGGAAGCCTGAGGAAGCACCATCACCTGCCGCTCAAGCTGAGACATCATAGTGAACTGGAGACCTGCATGGGATTCTCAGAGCCTTACTAACCTCTTTCTCTCTCTCTAATTTGAAAGGCAGAGTTAGAGAGAGAGGTAGATCTTCCATCTGTTGGTTCACTCCCCAGATGGCTGCAATGACTGGGGCTGGGTCAGGAGCTTCTTCTGGGTCTTTCTGGCAGGTATAGGGGCCCAAGCACTTGGGCCATCCTCTACCGCTTTCCCAGGCACATTAGCAGGGAGCTGGATCAGAAGTGGAGCACCCAGGACTCGAACCAGCATATGGGATTATGGCACTGCAGGCTGGGGCTTTAACCCACTGTGCCACAGCACAGCCCCTGTTTTCTTTTTTGATGCAGCTACATGTGAGTGCCCAGACCCAATCCGGCAGCTTGAAAGACCTAGCTTGCAAGCTCTCGTGGCAGCAAAGGCATAGTTACCCTAAATTCAGTGGGTCAAGAGAGTTGTTTGGCTGAGACTTTCCTGGACTGAGTGGGGATTCCCTCAACCCTGTACCAGTCAGAATTAAAGTTCATTCTGAGAAGTACATTTTCCGAGGGACACTGGAAGACTAGAACACATTCACAGGAAAAGTATCAGGGATCAGGAATGAGGGCTGGAGCCACAAGCTGTGGTGGGGAAGCGGAGTGGTGAGAACAGAGATGCATGCCTCAGGGAAAACGACTGTCTTCCCAAACTCAACAGGACAGAAGTTAGGCTTTCACCGTACACACTGACTGAAGTAGGCCCAATGGGTGAAAGCTGGGAGGCTCTCGACTGTGGTTCAGTCCAAGGTGCAACAGGGTTCCGTGGGGCTCCATCACAGGCAATCTGCTCTCACTGGGAATAGAATTCCTAGCCCAGGCTAAGCCATGATATGGGGTAGGGTGAGGCAGAGGAGGACAGCAGAAAATACTCACATCCTGAAATGGGGCTAGACAAGTGAGTGCCTGAGCTTCTTCCACCAGAGAAGGATGCTCACCAGCCTGTCTTTCCCATGGAAGGCAGCCATGCGCAAATGACTTCGATGGCAGGAAATTACAGCTACTCGCGATTCAGAGATCACCAGGAGGGAGCAGCAACTGAACTAAAATCTGAGCAAATTCCCAACATCCTCATTCAAAAAGCAAATACCTCTTTAAAAAGGGATCAAGGGGCAGCCTTTGGCCCAGTGGTTAAGATGCTTACATCCCACACTGGAGTCCTTGGGTTTAGTTCTTGGCTCCAGCTCCCAATTCTAGTTTGCCGCTAAAGCAGATCTTGAGGCAATGATGATGGCTCAAGTGGTTCCTGCCACCCAGGTGGCAGATCAGGATTGAGTTCCTTGCTCCCAGCTTCAGCTCAGCTCAAAGGTTGTGGGCATTTGAGGACTGAACCAACAGACAGGAGCTCTATCTCTCTGTTTCTCAAATAAATTTTAAAAAGGAATGAAGGGTAAGTGTTAAAGAGATCATATAAATAGCATCAAGTGCCTGGTAATAATAGACAGAATTAAAAAGGAGGGAATGTCCAACATGGGAAGCAGTCCACACAACAGACTCATAGAATGACAATTGCTTTAGTTAACACTCTGACCTCAGAATCAGCCCTTAAGACATTCGGATGCGGCTGAAAAGCCCATGAGAGCATTCAGGCATGGAAAGCCAAGATGCTATGGCAAAAACTATCCTACATGAAGGATTTCTGTGAAACCCCAGTGGAAAGAAGGGGCCATCAAAGAAAGATGTACTTTTCTCTGAAGGGAGGAGAGAACTTCCACTTTGCTTATGCCCTTGTCTAAATACTGACGGAGTTTGTGGTCACAAAAGGCTTCCAGAGCCTTGGCAGCTCATTCCAAGAGCCTCGGGTGATCACTGACATGTTAACTGTTTAAAGTAACAATAGAAGTCACTGTGAACTTACTCCCCTTGTAGGATCTCTGTCCTTAATGAGTTGTACTATGAGAATTAACTGCAAAACTTGTTCTCAAATAGTACTTTCTTTATATGTTTTATGTGTGTATTTGTGTGTGTGTGGGGTGTACAAACTGTTGAAACCTTTACATAGCATAGAGTTGGTCTTCTGTATATAAAGTTTATTAAAAATGAATTTTAATGAAGAATGGGATGGGAAAGGGAATAGGAGGTGGAACAGGAGTCAGGTGGGAGGGCGGGTATGGGGGACAAGAACCACTATATTCCTAAAGTTGTACCTATGAAATTTGCATTCATTAAATAAAAAAAAGAATCAAGGGGCCAGCACTGTGATGTAGCAGGTAAAGCTGCCACCTGCAGCACTGGAATCCAAAACTGGCACTAGTTGGAGTCCCAGCTGCTCCACTTCTGATCCAGCTCCCTGCTAAAGTGCTTGGGAAAGCAGTGGAAAATGGTCCAAGTCCTTGGGCCCCTGTACCCACGTGTGAGACCCAGAAGAAAACTCCTGCCTCCTGGCTTCAGATTGGTCCAGCTCCAGCTGCTGTGGCCATCTAGGATGGCCTCTGTAACTGTTTTTCAAATAAATAAATCATTTTTTTTTAAAGGTTTATTTGAAAGTCAGAGTTATACAGAGAGAGTAGAAGCAGGGAGAGAAAAAGAGATCTTCTGTCTGATGGTTCACTTCCCAACTGGCTGCAAACGGCCAGAGCTGCGCCTATCTGAAGCCAGGACCCAGGAGCTTCCTCCGGGTCTCCCACGCGGGTACAGGGACCCAAGGACTCGGGCCATCTTCCACTGCTTTCCCAGGCCATATGGGATGCTGGTGCTTCAGGCCAGGGCGTTAACCTGCTGCGCCACAGCGCCAGCCCAATTAAATAAATAAATCTTAAAAAAAAAAAAAGGAATAAAAAACTAGATCTAGTACATGTGCATCAAGGACAAAGGGTAAAGTGTTAATAAAAAAAAAAGCTGGGAAAAACTATCTCATTCAATTCTTCTCTTGGAGATTCACAACCATATTAACATATCAAATGTTCTAAAGAGAAGCTAGTTTAGAACTGTTTCATGGGGAAATAAAGTGATTGGGGACATAAGGAAATTTTTAGCATACAATTAGCATGACCCTGCCCCACCTCAAGTTTTCTTCTGACACCTGTTGGGCAGTGGCATGAGAAAGCATAGGTGAGTACAAGAGCAAGAGGAAACCAAGAAAGCCATGTGGCGAGTCCTCCCAGACTAACAGGTTCAGGTCTTTGTCCTGCAGTCCCTCTCCTGCCTTAAATCCTTTGCACATGCTGCCCTTCTACCTTGCTACATGATCCTTTTTCTGTAAAAACTAGTGGAAAAAACTCATTGTATGTAAATGTAAGAGGCCTTCAACAGTTCACAGAAAATGCACAACATAAAAAACTCTGCATGGATTCCAAATTTTTTTACACCAAAATAAACTTATGTATGTTTTAATTCTACTTTCCCAGGAACTTTTAAAAGTATCCTCATATTTATGTGTTACATTTATAACAGAGATGGCTGCAGATGATTATGTGCCAAATCGTTCACACTGGCTACCTCACCAGGGTGGAATGGGGGAAAGAGGAGGCAGTACAAGACCGCTGTAGAGGCTAGTACTGGGGCACAGCAGGTGGAATTGCTGCCTGCAACACCGACATCCCATAGGGCGCTGGCTGGAGTCCTGGATATTCCACTTCTCTTTCAGCTCCTTGCTAATGCACTGGGGAAAGCCCTGCACCCACATGGGAGACCTGGAGGAAGCTTCTGGCTTCCATCTGGCCCAGCCCTGACTGCTGTGGTCATTTGGGGAATGAACTAGTAGATGGAAGATCTTTCTGTGTCTCCCTCCCTCTCTGTAACTCTTTGAAATAAAAAAAATATAACTTTTTCTGTACATTTCAGTAATTTTTCCAGAAAAAAAAAAAACCCACACACAGAAAAAAAGGAATAAAGCAAATACTCTGCTTTTGACTTCCTCAGCACACACAGTGACTGCTATGAAGCTGGTGGCTAGTCTCCTACGAACCCCTGAGTTTTCTGGTGCCAGTCCTCGTGGATGAGGTTGGAGGTGTGGATGACAACCCGGAGGCCTTCCTCATAAAGCAGCAGCATCATTTTCCTACAAAGACAGAGAAGGGATCAAGTGTTAACAGCTCTTTAAAAACAGTAATACCTGTCTGGTGCAACTGTAATAAACAGTTACAGGAATTCTTCTTTAAACTTTTGCATCACACAACGTGCGACACTCAAAATCTCCCCCGTGCACACTACTGCTAGGAGTCTGCTTTAGTGGTGAATGGACATGGCCTTTTAAAAATGCCTGGAGAACTTGCAGGTAGACGATTTTCCACCCCATCTTGTTGACATGTCCAGCTCTGGCCCCTTACTGTCTACAGATCATGTTTCTACCACAGACAACAGGAACCTTCTTGTCCAGTGTTTTCCAAAGTTTAGTCAAAACCTCTTGTTGACAAAAATGTTAAACAACTGAAACACAGTAAGAGCACACTGCTAGGTATGGAGTCACGAAACTGTTCTCTCAGCACAGATATGTATGTGTGCAGAACACCTCTGTCACTGAGAAGCCCTGTGACTCTGGGTACACCATTCAACACCCCGGGCTTTTCCTCACTTGTAGCTTGAATGATCAACTCCACCTCAGGACTGTTGTGAATGAAGTACAAAATGTATTCTGTTAAACGGAAAACACACTCACGCACATTGTTCTATGACTCCTTCAGTGCTTTGCTGTGTTTTGTAATTAGTCTTGGATGACTTTTATCTGCCTACTGTCTTCACAATCTTTAAACTCTTCCATTACAAACTTGTAACACTCATAATCTTCATCTTCTCTCCCCAACTAGGGTATCTCTAACTGTCTTGACTCTTTTTTCTAATTCCCACTGAGGCTAAACTGCTACTAAATACTTAATGATGTGACTTGGCTCACATGTGGAGAAAAAAAAAACCATATGAATACTATTTGGGCAGGATGATATCGGCAGAAAAAGGGAAAGAATACAAGGACAGAAAGAAGAGTGAGATTTTTAGCTCTTGACAAAATGAGAGATTAACCCCAGCTGGCAAACAGTAAATTAATGCAAAGCTGGAGAAGTGACAGCTGTTGAGCCATTGTCTTTCCATTTATGAAATATGCTCCCTGAAATCTGGGTAAATTTACATACACAGTTGCCAAATTAGCAGCTGATTGTAATTAAGAATAAGCCAGCTATGGAGCATGATATACGTTTTACAAATATTTCCATTAATCAAGGCATCAATTATCACTAGAATCATGTACTAATGACAATGAATTCAATCAAACAGCATTAGGGACACATTTAAGGGGAGCCACATTACTCTTTCCACAGGCAAAATGCTGTGTGTTCATTGTGGTTGCACAGGGACAGACAAGGGTGAGTGGTGCGGTGGTTCTGAAGGCTGACCGACCTGCTCGATGGTCTGATAAGGGAACACCTCCTTGGACATGGAGACGATAAACTCTTCATGCTGCTGGCATAGGACGAGGTGAGGTGGGAGAGGTGGTGGTGGTGTGAGACAGAGGACTTAGAGGGTGGTGGAGGCCCGGCTATAGAGGTGAGTGGGGAGAGACATGGCCCACTCACCCTGGCTCCTGCATGGATGATGACACCCAACATTCGCTGTCCTTTCTCTCTTCCCCCCATCCCGAGCCTCAGGGCCATCAGAGGTAACCCTGTTCCCAGCTCTGGGGGGAACTGAAGAGCTCTACCATCCTAACACTCCGCAAGAGACAGCAACTTTACTACACTTCACAAAGCCGTAAGCTTCCTGAGGTCGGGCTGTGCCTTTGCTTGTGTCCTTGTGCTGTGCACACAGCACCTGCTTTTGTACCTCTGGGCCAACTGCATGCCCTCTCAAAGGCTGTCTCCTACCTCCTCTTGCCAGCCCCACTCTGTTAGGCAGGGACGGAGTTTACATCCCCGAAACAAAGAAGTTGGAAGGTTTTTCTCCTTTTCTAACTCAGGTTTGTGTTGCTTCTTTCACCAGAAGTTGCAAAACTGTAAGAACAAAAACTATATCCTCTGGAGCAGACAGATTTTTAAAGAACAATTTGTAAAACATTTAAAAATAAGCAACCAAAAGTAACTGAGACATAAGCTCAATCTTCTTGTAAGATACTGGTGTTTCAACAAAATGTAAACCATAGATACTAAGTAGGTGGGAAAGGTTCTATTATAATTACTCCCGTAACCAAGCATTTTAAACTCTGAATTAAGAACTCTGTTAATTTTACCTGGAAAGTGTGTACAGGTAGGGGAGAGGTGGTAAATGGACCAAAGAGAAGCCATGGGGTCAGTTTTAGCGGTGAGCAAATAGGAACAAAATTAAAAACAAGAGTAAAAGGGTTCTAATCCCATCCCCATCGCTGGCCTAAGGAAAGGCACTCACCTTCTTGGAGCTTTAGTCCCAAGGGGAAGGACAAAATAACTAGCTGAAGAGCACTAGACAAAGGAGAGCGCCCTGTAGGCCCAGACAGCTTCACTGAGCTGGGTCCCGGACTGGCTTCCCATGCTCAGTCCCTCCCAGGAGGGACAGCACAAGCGGTCAGCAGCAGTGCAGGCTCCTCACCGCCTGCCTGCAGTGAAGGGCAGGGCAGCTGCACACACACAATGAGACTGCTGGCACAGCACACAGGTGGCCCGCAGACACCGGAACCCTGGGGTCTGAGTCACGGTCAGAAGCCAAATGGGTGGCAGGACTTGCCAGGCATATTCTGGAATCAGGGAAGTCTCTAAGCTAGGGCTCTGGCCTGAGGACTTTGCTGCTGGCGCCAGGCACTGCGGCAGAGACGGCCCTCACTGATGGCAGTCTGTATCTTTTGTGGCAGTGAGCACCCTGGAGCTCAGTGATGCACAGAGAACAGCTTATTCCTGAGTCAGGTGCTTGACTATCTCCAACAGGCCTCAAGCTCTATCCTCTATGGGACTAGAGTGACAGCTGGGGACGGTCTGTGGATGCCCCACATTTAACCACAGCATCTAGAAGCACCAACGTCTGGTGGATGGCCTCCCTTTCATAAAACAGCTGGCTGCACTCTTCCTACTCTAGTTTTTTGAAATCAGATTGGCCAACAGCGGTTTAAGTGTATAAAGAAGACGAATACACAAGACTCAGGACAAACATCCCTCCTAGGAGGCTGACTTCTGCCCTGAGGAACATGCTGGAAGCAGCAAGCTACCCATTTCCACTGCTGGACTGGAAGAAGGATGAGGCCCTGTCACAGCCCCGTGATAAACCCTGGCTGGAGCAATATGCTGCCTGAAACTACTGAGACAGGAACAACCACGCCTTGTTCTTTTTCTCATTTACAGAATCAAGTATGTCAAAAGGCCCTGCAAAACAGCTATAAAACTAACAGGCAACATGAGAGTCAGGTTGATAATCTCACACAAGGTGTCACACATAGGCAGTAACAGAGAAATGTCTAAAGAGCTGTCTTGCGCTGAAAGAGGTGTCAGTCTCTCAGGTTGACAACTTTTGGTAAAGTAGTTTTCTTTCAATTGAAATGTGGAGCAGACTTTCTAATATTGTGCTCAATATGACTCAGATTCTTATAAAAAGCACAGAACCTCTTACAGGTAGGAGGGATCCACAGGTGCTGACTTGCACAAACACACCCTCAGCAGCCACAGGGGCCACACAACCACAATCGATTCTTCCCAAGCCAGGCAGAGGGAAAGGCCCTCGGCGGAGGGGAGGAACCCAGGGTCTCTGTACACACTCACAGCCAGAAGCTCAGTGTTCTGAGTTCAAGCTGCTGGAAAACAACAGCACGCACTGTGGACGGCTCTGTCCTCCCCCAAGAAACCCTCAGACCCCAGCCTTTCTGAGGATGCTTCCTGCAAGTGTGCTTTGCTCCAGGGAGAGCAGTGGAGAGAGGCTAGCTGGTGCCAAGTCCCAGTTACACGGCAGGAAGAAGTCTGCTGTTCTACTGCACAACAGGGTGACTACAGCTAACAAGGGACTGCGCAGTTAAAGAAAAAGTCTGAAGATTTCGAATGTTTTTACCTCACAGAAATGACAGATGTTCTACAAGACAGATGTTAACCCTGAGTTGAACAATACAGAAGGTACACAGCATCAAAGCACCACATGGTATCCCATAACTAGTCAAAACAAAAATTAAATCACACCCCCCCATTTCATAAAAAGTTACTTACGTGTGATGTGTTCCAAACGCAATATCTAACTTTGCCTAGGATGAGAAAAAAAGTCATTTATTTTTCAAAAATTCAGTAATATCCTTAACTGAATAGTTTTTCCTATTGGAAATCAAATTAGTAAAGGGTCAGGTCAACTCAAAAAAATAAAAATCTATCTTTACTGCCCTCTATTGGCCAAGCCCTTGAATAACAAGACAGCTTTTCCAAGTAAATAGACCCAGTGAAGCACATCTCTCGCTCTCTCTCTCTCTCTCTCTCACACACACACACGTTACCCAGAATGATTCAATATTACTGCATTTTTAATTATAGCAATTGGGAGTAAAAACTTAATTTTTTTAGTTGCTTAAAAAAGCTAATAAAACCAATAAGATTCCATGCAAAGTTTTAAATTTAGGTATTTGGCTTACATTGAAATTAGCGAAGTTTTCAGAGCATATTTAAAAGGCACATTGAGCATGGTGACAACATGAAGACATATTAGAATGTTTAACAGAAATTCCTTAGAACATAAATAAAAAGATAATATATTAAATCCATTTTCACATTACAAATTGACCTTTACAAACCAATGGTAGGCACGTGGAAAAGTAAAACATTTTATACAACATCCTGGTTAAGCAGAAAATACCACTAGATGTGTTATGAAAGGGTTAAAAGCCACAAGAAGAGCTCAGCCATTAGGCATGTAGTCTACGTGTTTGAATGGTTTAGGAAATACTCTGTCTCTATGCCTCAGCTTTCTCTTCTTAAAATTGGGTGCTACTAACAAGATTCAGAGAGAAGGTGGAGTCAATGAGAAAATGCTACCAAATGCTTAGCAGAGGGCTGTGGCAGTAGGACGCTACAAACAGTAGCTCTTGCTACTGTCACCTGCCCCCAACTCCATCTCTCTCTGTAGGACAGAAGGGTAGAGCTGTTTGCTGGGGCAGCAATGGGCAACTGGAATACCCAGTGCTCTGGGAGTGCTCACCAACAGGTGCACCAGTCATCCCTGACCTGCGGGGAATACGTTCCAAGATCCCAAGATCCCAACGGGTGCCTGAAACCTGGGAGAGTCCCGGCCTCTACATACACTTTGTTATTCCTATACTTACGTCCCTAGGCTAGTTCAGACATAAATTATGCAGAATAAGAGATTCTTCCTTCTTCACAACTTCACGGAGCGATCTGTTCCTACCCTGCATCTTAGCAGCCTCAGTACATTCTTTTTATTAAGGATATAACTCTCACCTTTTCACTGAAAGTAGCGCTTTACAGCTTTTTTGGCATATCTGAATTGCCAGCATCCCCACTCTGATGCTTTGGAGCCATTATCCAGAAAAATAAGGTTTCCTGGACACAAGCATTGCAGCGTCATGACAGCTGCTCTGACAGCTGCCACAGCCACCGGCTGACCACAGGGCAGGAAGCGAGTAGGCAACTCATGTCCTGGGCAGAACGGAGCCCAGTGGCACACGCATCACACCACTCAGACGGGTGCACAATTTTAAACTCAGCAATTGCTTATTCCTGGAATTCCCTACTTCGTATTTCTAGACCACAGCTAACTGCAGATAAATGACTCTAAGGAAAGTGACACTGTGGGTAGGGGGAGCTCCTGTACTTTTCCACGTGGTGTTTGGGGGTGCTCTGGCTGCAGGAGACACAGCAGAGAACTGGACTGCATGTCTCCAAAAGGAAAACGCCATTTTGTAAACTGGTTATTCTTTGAGGAAGCACAACAGTCAGAGATCTGGCTTTGGAGCTTAGTTCTGCCACAAGTTTCATGCTTTGGGGCAAGTCTAAGCACAAAAACACGGGAACAATAACTTCACCAGACAATCCTTAATGGGTGCTTTTTGGGGCTAACCAAACCCTTCTGTCAAACCTTTGGAAGTTGCCAGAATCAAAATGGGTCACTTTTGTCAAAGGCCTAACCAAAACAATAAGGTAAACCAGGCAGCCGTGAAGAACATTTTATGTGCGTGTGCCTGGTAACCAGTCGTTCACAAACAACGGCCAGAACCACACCCTTGTACAAGGCCATGGCAACCTGACACAATACTTGTGCAAGCACGTCCGCCCAGCAGCTGGCTGCTTAACCGTGGATGGCGCCACCCTCGTGGAGCCTTGTAGCCCTTCCTTCAACACGTCTAATGTCATCTTCACTTCACCTTGAAGCACTTCATTTGCTTCCCCCTCCTTGAATGCACTCAGATCACTGACACGTGCACTCCCACTGCAATGCTCTGCTATTCCCAAAGAAACTTAGTATTTCAAGAACCTGCTATTTGGGTTGACACAGCTGATGATGAATGTTATCAATGCATTTTATCTTTTTTTTCTTCTTAGAGACTGGTATTTGTTTTGTGTCAACCTCATTTTCATTTTGCTCTAGAGACTGAATTGCAGCTTAAGACCGGTGGTTTTTCTGCCCCATTCCAGGGCCTGAGCAGTGGGAGCCCAGCCCAGTTTTCAGGAGGGAACTGCTGCGTAAGCACAGGGGGCCCTGCATGCCTTAACAGTCTGCACCCTCAGGCTGAGCAGCATTCACGCCAAACTTGCTCCTTGCTCACAGCATTTCAGCAGCGGCCCGCTCTTCCATCTCTTCAGAATCTCTGCAGGAGGACAGATCAGGCGTGAACTCTCACGGGTGCTCACACAAGACGGTACCGTGTATGTGTGGAACTTCCTGGGCCAGCATCTACTCCATCAGGGCTGCTGAGGGGGCTCCCCTGTCGCATGGGATGGCAATGTCCACGTAGCACAGAGGATAGTCTGTGTTACACAGAGCAATGGTAGGCAGGTTCACAGAAGATGCCTCTGTGAGAGGCTGGCGGTCAGCCCTGGTTAGACGTGGCTCCCAGATGGCTGCCTGGATCTGGTTAGTGAAAGACCCAGGAGTGAGAGTGGCCAGCACCAGGAGCGGCTCCAGTGGCAGCAGCAACTTCAGCCAGTGTTCCTGGAGGATACCACACTGACATCAGCAGGGTTTCACAGGCCACCATGGCACGAACTGCCACCAGAAGCTTCTCCCAGGTCCTCTCCAGACGTACGATGGAGAGGCCATCACTCTTCCTGTTGTAGATGTCCTGTTCTACCAGAAGTCAAGGCTGCTGCCACCTAGGTGGGTTCCTGCTTCAAGGGCTGGAGGGCATCCTCCTCCTTCACGTGCAGCACATCAAGGTCTCCGGACATCATGACAGCTTCCCTTGAAGCTACCCCAGGAGTCAAAACCACGTGGTGTGGAGCCCTCATCAAGAAATGCAGAAAGCAATCCATTTTAAAGATGACGAAATTTGGGTTCAACAATTAGGCTTAAGTGATCAGCTCAGAACAGACTGAACTTTTGTGTCTCCCCAAATTCCCCCAGCTTGACTGTATTTGGAGAGTCAGAAATTTGCAGAGGCAGCTGGTGTTAAATGAGGTCAGCAGGGTTGGCCTCAGATGGATTCATGTACTTATAAACACAGACACCAGAGATCTCGTGTGTGCTCACTCTGCCACACGAAGGCACAGTGAAAAGGTGGGCTCCTACAAGCCAGGAAGAGGCCCTCACCAGACGGAAGATATTGGCACACTGATGTTGGATTTCTGTTTCCAGAACCATGAGAGGTTAACTGTCAGTTGTTAAAGCCACTGATATTTTGTTTTATCATTGAGCGCAGACTGACATACCCAGGAAGAGAGCTGGCACAGAACTAGGCAATGTGGCCCCTGACCCCCAAAGGTCTCTACCTCTGGCCTCAGGCTGCTCATCTGCAAAATGCGAGAAGTGTCAGCGTCCACTGGTTCTTTGACTAATATGCCTCAGGTTTTGCTAGAAAAAGTTAAGAATTACTCTTACAGGCAAGGTACTAAATGCAATAGGTATGGATGAAGTCTCGATCCTGGATCTCAATAGTTCCTGGCACAAAGTTTGGAAGAAGTGGCTTGTTATGCCCTCTAGTGGCTGGCCTGGAGCAGGTCATCAGGTGCAGGACTCTCCTAAACCTTGCAATACAGAAGCCTTTGAAAAACACTTCCTATCTCTACCTTAATTTAATCACTGGTTCTCAGGATTCCCCTGTCAGTTTATTTCCTGCCCCCTATTAGTCTGATAAAAACTACCTTACTCCAGTTTAACTTCTGTTGCTAAAAACAGAGGCAAACAAAGGAATTTTAGGCTCGGCAGAACAAACATGCTGGGCAGAACCCACAACATAGAGCACAGAGGATTAAGTCACGGGGCAATGTTGTGAGGTATATTTAAAACTGAGCAGGTGAGACGTGCACTGCCTTAATCCTCAGTAAACAGACAGGTAGCTGGGAGCTGGAAGAGTGACACAAGGTGAGCTGGAGCGCTTCTATCTTGTGTGGATGGGGAGAGAGAGATACTTGGCGGAATGCAGCCAAGAAAAGGAATCCAGGAGCCTGTAGCTCATCCTCAAATCTGTGTTCAGAGAGCAGAGCTCACAAACAAGTTTCACCAAGCTAATGACAAGGAAAGAAAAAAGCTACGTTAGTATCTTTCATCATGCTTTCTCATCTTTCCAGAGAAGGAAATCCGAAGCCTAAGGAATTCTTCTGAAGTCCTTGCTTTTCTCCCCATTAGGCCTGTTTCTTATTGAGAAAGCCAAATGTAATAAAAAAAAATCCTTTCAGCGCCTGGTGTGTGGTGCAGTGGGTTAAAGCTGCATCCCTTGTGGGTGCAGGTTTAAGTCCCACCTTCTCTGCTTCTGATGCAGCCCTTGCTAATGCACCTGGGAGAGCAGTGAGAGATGGCCCTGTGCTTGGGTCCCTGCACCCGTGTGACAGACCTGATGGAGTTCTGGGCTCCTGGCTCCAGCCTGGCCCAGTCCCAGCTGTTGCGGCCATCTGGAGAGTGAACCAGCATTTGGAAGACCTCTCTCTCCTCTCTCCAACTCTTTCAAATAAATAAGATCTTTAAAAACAATTAAATTTAAAAATTCTTCCAGAAAGTCTAAAGCAATGGGTCCTAACCCAAATCTACAAATGAGTGGCCTCACTGTGTTCTGCCTGCAAAGTATGAGGACTAAATTATGGGCACATATTAAGAAACAGTTAATAGATTTCGGAGCCTTTTTTTCTATGTTTGCTTTGCAAACAAAGTGGACACACCGATTATGAGACCACTAGTGCCCCTCACTGGGCTTGGCTCACACACAGCGCATGACTCACACAGGTAGTTTTCCAACAGACTTCTATCTATGGGTCTCCCCAGTAGACTTTATTTAAATAGTTTAAGATTTATTTATTTGAAAGGCAAAATTACAGAGAAAGACTGGGAGGGACGAAGGGAGGGAGGGAGAGAAAATCTTCCATCAGCTGGTTCATTACCCAAATGGATGCAATGGCCAGGGTTGGTTCAGGCCACAGCCAGGAGCTTCATTCAGGTCTCGCATGTGGGTACAGGGATGCTAATGTTTGGGCCATCTTCTACTGCTTTCCCAGGCACATTAGCAGGGAGCTGGGTTAGAAGTGGAGCAGCCAGGACTAAAACTGGTGTCCAAATGGGATGCCATCATTACAGGTTTATCTGCTACACCACAGTGTAGCCCCTGCCTTCTCCCAGTGTAGTCTTTAGATGCAGTTGTGTGCAAAAGAACTGAGGACTATGGTGAAAGTGTCAATGTAGTTAATGTTGGACAAGGTGTCACGAAACACAAGGTTCAGACAAAAAGAACCTACAGCCACGGAGCTACGTGTTGGGACCTCTTCAGTGCTGGAACCCAGGTTTAAGTGGTCGCTGACCTGCCAGATGCAGCCAGAGGACTAGCAGCAGGCTTGGGAAAGACATGTGATTCACGGTGTACTGAACAGAGCTCAGGAAAGTGAATGCTCTAACTTGTAAAGGATCACTTCAAACAAGAATCACCAACAGTCACAGGGGAAGATTTATTCTGAGGAATCACAACCAACATGTGGAAGTAAAAAGGAGGGAGACTTCAGGTACACGAAGAACAACTTGGGGCCACTGTTGTGGTGTAGTGGGTTAAGCTGCGGCCTGCAACGCTGGCATGAGTCCTGGCTGCTTCACTTCCAATCCAACTCCCTGCTAATGCACCTGGGAAAGCAACAGAAGATGGCCCAAGTGCTTGGGCTCCTGTACCCACATGGGAGACCCAGAAAAAACCCCTGGCTTCTGGCTTTGGCTTGGCCCTGTCCCAGCCATTGTGGTCTTCTGGGGGAGTGAAATGGCAGATGGAAGATCTCTGTCTCTCCTTCACTCCGTAACTCTGGCTTTTAAATGAAAAAATAAATCTTTAAAAAAAAAAAAAAAGGAAAAATCTTTCCAGGGCTGGTGTTCAGGTGGACAGCAGGTTAAACCACTGCTTACAGTGCTGGCATCCCTCACTGGAGTGTCCATTCAAGTCCCGGCTACTCTATTTCTGGTCCAGCTCCCTGCTAATGTGCCTGGGGAGGCAGCAGAGGGTGGAGGAGGCTTGAGTGCTTGGGCCCCTGCCACCCATCTGGCAGACATGGACACCCATCTGGGGAGTGAACCAGCAAATGGAAGATCTCTCCCCCCGCCCTTTCCTGTTACTTTACTCTGACTTTCAAAGAAATAAAACAAATCATTAAAGGAAAATTTTTCCAACTATGAGGGTGCCAAATGGGAAGGGCTATTTCTGCAAGTGTTGATGCTGAGGCTAGACCAGTCTCTGCGGGTGAGGCTGGAGAGAGGATTTCTACACCAGGTGGGAAGACCAGCCAAAGGTCCAAATTTTCCTCCAGTGCTCAGATTGTACATCATTGCCAACAGCAGGAAGGCTCTTACCTGGCAGAGGGCAATGTTTTCGTAAGGCTTGGCCTGGGCATGTAAGTGAGCCTTGGCCTCTCGTTTATCACCATGCACCAGCAGGATGGGTTTCCTCCTGAAATGAGATCAGAAGTAGTAAAAGCACATCACTCATGAAGCTGGACTCTTCCCTGTTAGGGAATGCCAGCTTCCCCACCTACTACCTGGCATTTTCTTCTTGCCTTCATGGTGACTGAATACAGGCACTAATGCAGAGCAGTGACCACTTACTGGTCACAGACCAGTTCATGTTAACACGGGGCCACATGGCCTGACCCTGAAGCTCTGCTGTAACACAGCAGGGCTGAGACTCAGCAAAGTCCTTGGTAATTATTTCTTTGGTCCCAAAGGGCACACAGGTAGCTCTGTGTTAATATATTCAAGTTCAAACAGATTAAAGACAATAATCATTTCATAATATGATGCTTTTTCTTTCCTTTTGGACCAAGCAATGGATTCATTCCACACTGTATCTATATTCACCAAGCTCTTACGATGAACTATATACTTGTACACGGCACTAGAACCAGGATACAATAGTGAACAGGCTCACAGCACAACACGGATTCATTAATGGTCGGTTAGACTGAAATGAAACAGGGCTCAACGTATATTGAAATGCTGTGTTTTCAAATTCCAAGGAATCTGAGACACTCTTCAATAGACTAAAAATGCTTCTAGGAGATCCTTGATCTTCAGTTAATTCAAAGTGAGAAAATCCCTAGAAATCAATCTTTTTTACAGGCTCTCCCAACACAACAAAAATTGGATTTTTCTCCAACAGGCAGTGGAGGTAAGATAAACCACAGCCACATCCACACTGCATTAATCCCGCTGCACAGGGCCCACCTCGCTTGCAGATCACAGGAAACGCATGCCTACTGCTGACCCCCAACTACGTCACGCCCTGCAGCTTTCTTCTACCAAGTAAGAGGAAACCATGAAGTGTGCGTTCCTAATTGCTTTTCTTCTTTGGAACAGATTTTACACACAGAAAAACAGTATAATAATAATGTAAGAAAATCCATCTATCTTTTAGAAATGAGATGTTATCAGATTATCAGGTTTTCTTAATTACGGAAGATGAAAAGCTGAACTCACTGATACCTTTATGGGTTCTATGAAATATTACCAAAAACTAGCATCTAAACAACAACATAATCAGTCACACAGCCTGTTGATCTCTGGTTTTCTATATACAAGTCCTGCTGTTACTTCAACTTGGCCATTCAGGCCATCCCTCATCTTTACGATGTTTGAAAGCTTTCTCGAGATGCCCGTAGCAGTGAGGGGTGGAGGCTCCTCCAACCCCCAACACTACTTACTGGGGGTCCACCAGACATTGGACTGGTGGGCTGGGGCTGCCGTAAGGAAGCTTTGGCTGCGTATTCCCCACCCTAAATGTCCAGGACCAGAAGTGTTCCAGAGGTTCTCCAGGTTTGGGAATCTGCATAGACTTTACCAGCTGAACATCCCTAATCTGAAAACTCTGACTTGCTGCAAAATCCAAAACCTTTTGAGGACATGCAGGTGCTTAAAAAGTTCTAGATTTCCACGCATCTTGAATTTCAGATTTTTGGATTTGGATGCTCAATCGGCACTAGGAGCTGGGTGGTTACACAACACAACCTCATTGTCTCATGGCTCCATGGCTCGGCAGTCTGAGACAGAGGTGTGGGCAGGGTTGGTTCCTCCTGAGGCGGGGGTGAGGGGTGTGGAACCTGCTCCCTGCCCCTTCCTAGTCTCTGGAGTCCCTGGCTTGCAGGTGGCATCCTCCCTCTGCCTTCATAGTCTTCTGTCTCTCCACATCTTAACTTTCCCTTTTACAGAGGAACAAACTGTAATGGATTAATGTCTACCTACTAACCTCATTTTTACTAGAAGACGTCTGTAAAGGCCTCATCTCCAAATAAGATCCCCTTCTGAGGTACAGGGGTTCAGGACTCTCAACACATCCTTTTGGTGAGACAATTTAACCTGTGCCAAGGCGCTAAATGACTGACAGTTGATTTCAAAGTCTTCAAGCAGCAAAGGGAGGAGGAAAAAGTGCTAGGGACAGTTCCTGCCGGCAGGAGCTCACGGCAGGGACGGCTCGTTGCCTCCAGGTACACCCTTCTCCTTTCTGAACGAAACCCTGACTGCCTCAGGACAAGTGTGCTCAGCTGCATGAAGACACTGCCAGCCCCTCTATGAGCTGAGCTGTGCTCAGTGAGACAGAGGTGTCACAGAGGACGTCCCAGAAGGATGCTCACTAGGGCACAGCGGGGACATGGGCCCTTTCATACCTCCTTCCTTCCTCCTTCCTGTACCCAGAACACAGAGCAGCAAGCTAGAGCTTCAGCTGCCATCCTGAACCACAGGGTGACTCTGAGGACTGAATACACCCACCAGGACAGAAAGAAGAGGTGGCCAAGTCTCAGAGAACAGCAGTGCTCCCAATTCAGACCACAAATGCCTACCACCGAGGCTTCTCATGCTGGAAAAATTAATTTGTCTTGTTTAAGCCACTGTCATTTCCGGGTTTCTATAACGGGTAGTTAAAATGTATCCCTGTGTTGCAGGTCAGATACCAGCCCTTCAGCGCCAGCACTGCTTGGGAAATCTCCTTATTTTATTCTCTGTGAATGGCAAAGGTTTCCCCAATCTGATGTCCTTAATCCACCAAGGACTTGGTGTGTTCTTCCACCCCACCTGCCATCACGGGATTCTGCCACATGAACGTGTCAGAGAGGGGGATGGGCGGGCAGCGTGCTCCCATGCCAGGCATCTTTATTTGGTCTGTTGTCCAACACAAGGCCGGCAATTGCAGAACACGGAACTGCTTTAAAGTCCTTCACACGCATGGCCCGGGTCCAGGAAAGCCTACTGACCTTTCCTAACTCCTGCACTACAGGAAGAACCATTTGAGAAACTCAGAGATCCTCCACACAGAGCAGAAGTGAGGTGCCGCATGACGCACATGCGCTGCACACTAGAGGCTGGGGACGCAAGCAGAGATGATCTCTGCTTCCAGGTTCACACTGGATGGCAAGTTCTGTTGAGCTGGAATTTGCCCTTCTTTACCTCTGGACAGTGCACAAAGGAGAATACTAACCTCTGCAAAAATAATCTGATGAAATTTAAAAACGTTTCCACCACCTGATTTTAACGGTTTCTAAAAAATATTCAAAAAGATGGGTGGCTTTTGCCCAAGAAGCACAAATCTTAGGTTTCAAAGTCCATTATGGTTCATGGTACCCTCTGTCACCTGCAGAACTCACCTGAACTCTGGTGGGTACTGTTTTATGAGCCAGTCCACATCGAAGCAGTAGTTAAACTAGACAGGGAAGAGAAAAGTAACTAAGACACCAGTCATTCAGCCAAGCAGTTCACAAAAAGAACCGTTAGTTATTAAATGGAGAAAGAGTCTAAAATAGTAATGGACGACATAAATTATTTATAACCCTGGGCAGTCATGCTGCAATACTCACACACTTAAAATTGAACTTGAAGAAACACATGGTTAAAGGAACCGAATAAATGGAGCTAAATGCACAAGAAGATAGGTTCTAAGGGAATTATCACTGCACACCTTGGCAGCAAGTGTATTTGTCCATGGCGCATTACTTCTAACAACTCTGAGATTAATTTGAATAAACAGGTTTGTACACGTATCTCCCTTTCCCCAGGTGATTATAAAAAGACAGACACCCAAGCACCCAAGATAAAAGTTCCCAGGACTTGCAGAAAGGAGTACTTACTTTCAGCCTAACTCACTAGATAGCTTTGTGCACAGGTATCTGGGGCTGACAGTCACGAGGCTGATAACTATAACCTGAACACAAGCTCTGGGCTGGTCTGCCCCAGGGTGCTCCCCCTTACGCTGGGTAACCCTGGGGTCATCTTGTATGCGGGAACTCAAGCTGGCCGAGACAGCACTCGATCTTCCATCTGGAAACAGGGACTCTGAAGATCACACCCACTCGTGAAAGGCAGAGGAAGCCTGCCTTTCTCCAGGGACACGGCCCTTCTTCCTATCTGCCTGCAAGCCCGGAGCATTCACGTGCTCTGTCAGCACAAAGGGAGCAGCACAGCCAGGCAGAGCGAACATGCCCCTGTAGCCCGCACCCCACTCCCTCCCTTCTGGCAGGTGCAGGGAGTGCCGTATGCTTCTAAGATCTACACACACTTTCCCAGGGGCTTGCACCGAGTCCCGTGAGTCTTCAGGCTGGAATGTCTAAGGTGCCTTCTTGGTCCGCCCTTGTGGCCTGATCAAGAGTCAACTGTTCTACAGACAGTGGCGTCTGTGTTCTATGTTGACGGCCATGATCCCATGGCTGGCATGTGGTGTCGGCCTCCAGTTGTTGCCATCTTAAGGACACCGTGCCCACATCTCAAGGACTCTGCTAGGGCACAGGTTCCACCTCTCAATGTTTTCTTGAGAAGTTATTTAGTGGTCTCCTTTTACCCAAAGGAAAACCAGCTTGACCATAAACTTACCTGCGCTGAAGAAACAAGTGTCCCAAATAGAGGAGATAAAATATCTACAACAACAAAACATCAAAGTCAGATTCACACTCAGAAAAAGTCCTCTAGTCCCAGCGATCACAACTAACTTAATCAAAAGTCACTGATGATCAAGATTTGGTTCAGAAAACAATAAACTGCAAAGTGATGGAGAAGCTAGACTTGGGGGTTTCATAAAACTCAACAAAGAACTCCCCTATGCTATTTAAGGGTATTTATTATACATTATGAGACACAGTGCAAAACCAAAATCTGCTTCAGTACTAGTCAATTTCAGAAGCTCCTCAAGATGCATGCTCCTCTTCCTGGGTCTCTGAACTTTGACCTCCTTCAAGTACCCACCCAAGTTCCTCTCCAGGACCCCTCCTTGGGAGCCTGCAAGCTCTCCCTTCCTGCAAACCCAGGGTCAGGGGCATCCATGATTCTAAATTCACGCTGCTGGTATGTTGGTCAGGTGGGTCCATCTGGAACCCATCTGGGCCTTACTTTTAGACAGTGGAAAGCTGGTTTCTAGTGAACTTCACCATGAGAGGAAGCGCCCATCGTCACCATCTTCAATTACTACAGCTGTGTCTAGGGGACCCACTGGTACCAGGCACCACTCTTGGTGCTTGCGACATAGTAACTCTTACTCCTTCAGAACCATTCTCTGAGTTGTAGGGGGCCGGGGTTTGCTACTTCTGTTTTGTAGATGAAGAATCTCTTTAAGAAGTACCCATGGCCATGCAGCCAGGACAGGGCAGAACTGGAGTTTGGGCCCCGCTGTCAGATTCCAGCAACTCTGCTCCTGCCGCCTCCTGCCTCCGGGGGATAAGACTCAGCTCCTTTACTTATATGATTGGCAGATATCCAGTGATCTAGATGCTGGGTACAAAGATTTTAAAAGACCACTGCCAACGAAATACTCACAGAAGTTCCTGTCTTACTGGGAGAAGGCACAATTTAGAGATCATTCTTCCACCCTGCCCCCACCAGCACCTCGCTCCACCTTTCTATATCCCACCCATCTTTTAAGGGCCACCTGAGGTCCCCTTCCTCCACGAGCTCTTCTCAAGGCTCTACAGTTAAGGCATATATTAGAGCGGTTCGTCAAACAGCATGGACGCCTCAGTGCCTAGGTTCAAATCCCAGCCCTACCACCGACCAGCTCTGTGACCATGGGCAGGCTAACTATTCTAAACTGTAGATCCAGCAAGGCAAAGACCTAGAATTAATAAAAAGGAAATCTCACCTCCCCACCTTCACTAACCGCCAGTCTAGCACTTCATTCCATACAGAGAAACTCCATAGAGTTCTCTGTGGAACATGATAAACTCTAAAGCAAAACAAAAACACTGACAAGCATCTTATAGCTCTTCAAAGAACCTTGATGGGAAATGCTTAAAGAGAAAATAACCTGTAGAATCAAACTCTCAACAAGATGCAATTAAATGTCCCAACCCTTATTCATTGTATAAAAGGGATACAGAATTCTGTACTTGAAATTTAGAAATATTCTTGACAGTGCCTCCTTTTCTGAATCCCCAAACTGAAATTCAGACAGTTAGGTCTTGCATTAACGATCCATACAGCAAGAGTGCCTGTGGCTCCCAGGGAGTGGAGGGAGGGAGAGCGACCCAAGACCACCTTTGATTCTCAGTGAAGCATCTACCTGTGCCTTTGCTTCTTCACCAGGAACCCAAGCCAGCTTCCAAGCAACAGTTCTGTAACGTGCCTGGGCATTAATCCTGGGAGGGGTTGTCAGAACACAGACTGCAAGGCCTGCACCCCAGGGTGGGAGTCAGTGAGCATGGGGGAGCCCAGGAATTTGCAGTTTTAACAAGTTCCAGGTGATGCAGATGCTGCCGGTTCTGGGACCACAGAGGACAAACAAAGGCTGCGAGGTCTGTCACCTCATCCACAGTGTCACTGATCAGGCTTAATCTTGGACTTCAGCAATTCTAAGTATGGTGCTAAGTGTTACAGTGGTTTGAGTGACAGGGTCTGCAGAAACACCCTCTGGACACCCGACCCAGGCAAGGTTTGCTGTCCCACTAACGTACTTGCTTGTTTAAAGCATTTTTTTTTTCCTCTGAGAACATCTAAACCATTGAGCAGGGTTCTTGAGGCACACTCTAGGCTGCCTTCCTCATCTGACCCCGCAACCTCTCAAGGGCAACCCGAGGGCTCTCTGATGCACAGCTTCCTCTTACCCTTGATGTGGAGGGCTCCGGAGTTGTACTTGGGCTTGATTCCCGAGACTCTAGTGAGGTAAAAGCGGAAGGGGTTCCCTCGATCCAACATGTCCCAAAGGTCCTGGCCTTCCCCCGCCGTCTCATGCTTGTCTTCCCCCTCCTCTTTGAGCCTGTGGCTGGCAGCAGGGCCGTGATTTCCACCTGTCTGGGCAGTGCCGTCTCTGGGAGAAGAGACGTCTGGCTCCTCGCAGCCCACGGCTTCCTTGGCCTGCTTTGGCTGGGACTCTGGGGAGACCTCATCGTCGCTGCTGGAGAGACACCAGCCCAGGTCTCCCTGGGAACCACTTTTTTGCTTTTTGGGAGGTGAAGCCGAATCTGTGTTGCTGAATCTCACAGGGGACGCCTGTCTCCTGTGCGCAGCTTTGCGAGCCTCAGAACAGGTGTACCTTGGCTCACATGCTGTGCCTTGCCCGGCGTGGGGAGGGGCAGAAGTGGATGGCTTGTCCAGTTTCGGCTTTTCGTCCTCACTCTCATCACTACTGGATATTGTCCACTTCCCGTAATTACCTTCCTGAGACATTATACTTCTGGAAATGAAAGAAACAGCATCAGGTCCTGTTCACTAGGCCACTGGAAAAATCACTTTATGACTCTCAAATTCTCGGTCAGACGTGCTTCTGAGTTTATCAGAAGCTGGGGCACGTGACCACCGTCAGTTGTTTTGTGGTTGGTCATCGGCACATTACCAGATCTGCCACGAGAATCTGCCAAACTAGCAACGAAAGTCCTGCCTTCTTTCCCTTCCTCTCCCTCCGCCTTTCAGTCCAGACCCTGCTCTCTGACACCCCTGGGTGGGGGCTGCAGCCAAACTCCAAAACCAAAGGTTTACTCCCAACCCTGAAGCTTCCAACAGGTGACTGGGATTAAGGCCAATTTAAAAAGCAATTCTAAGGATGCTCAAATTCTTGAGGTCACACTGGAATTTCCAAATCTATCCTCCACCCAAGCACAGGCACCACGGGACTTAAGTAGCTATATCTGACTGCCCCCCCAGCCACTTTTTTACAAGGCTTAAAGTCCTCACGAAGGATGCCGTCTGTATGGTATGTAAGAATTATCTTACTGTCCATGTCATAAACCAAACTGTTAAAAACCTGCAGAGGAAGAGCAGATATGGAACACTTACTTTCTAAACCACAGTATAATTCCAGCTTTCTTCTCAATGAAAACACATGAAACGAGTATTTCCAGTTTTACCTACAAAATGTCAATTCAGTGGAAAAGGGGTATCTAAGTAGATTTTCCAGATAAAGAAGTTTATTAATGTAACATTTTTAAGTACAAGACTCAGAAAAAACTTATAGAACTCGAGAGTTTATGCTCAGATTGATGGAATCTTTCAATTTTTGCTGTTTTAAAGAGGCCCAACAGGATGCACTAAGTAGGGTAAACCAAAAGAGACCATGGCACTTTTTTTTTTTTTTTTTTGACATGCAGAGTGGACAGTGAGAGAGACAGACAGAGAGAAAGGTCTTCCTTTGCTGTTGGTTCATCCTCCAATGGCCGCTGCAGCCAGCGCGCTGCGGCCGGCGCACCGCGCTGATCCAATGGCAGGAGCCAGGTACCCTGGTCTCCCATGGGGTGCAGGGCCCAAGCACTTGGGCCATCCTCCACTGTACTACCTGGCCACAGCAGAGAGCTGGCCTGGAAGAGGGGCAACCGGGACAGAATCCGGCACCCCGACCGGGACTAGAACCTGGTGTGCCGGTGTCGCAAGGCAGAGGATTAGCCTAGTGAGCCGCGGCGCCGGCCAAAAAGGCACTCTTTCAATAGGACCCACATTCTTTAAAAAATAAAACAGTAGGGGCCAGCGCTGTGGCACAGTAGGTTAATCCTCTGCCTGTGGCGCCAGCATCCTATATGGGAACCGGTTCTAGTCCCGGTTGCTCCTCTTCCAATCCAACTCTCTGCTGTGGCCTGGGAAAGCAGTAGAAGATGGCCCAAGTCCTTGGGCCCCTGCACCATGTGGGAGACCCGGAAGAAGCTCCTGGCTCCTGATCGGCACAGGTCTGGCAGTTGTGGCCATTTGGGGAGTGAACCAGTGGATGGAGGACCTGTTTCTCCTTCTGTCTGAAACTCTACCCCTCAAAAAAATAATAATTAAAAAAAAACCCAAGGTTTCTATTTAAAAAAAAAAAAAAAAACAATAAAATAAAAACCACGGCCTTTGGCGCAATGGTTAAGATGCTGCGTGGGGCACCTGCATCCCATGAGTCCCAGATCCACTTCCCATTCAAGCTTCCTACTGACATGCACCTTGAGAAGTAGTTGGTCCCTGGAGATGGAATTCTGGGCTTCTGCCTTCAGCCTGACCAAGCCCTGGCTTTTGCAGGCATTTGGGGAGTGAACCGGCAGATCTGTCTTTCAAATAAAATGAATTTTAAAAGGAGGCTTGATTCTACATGAAAAGATCTGCAAATGAATACACATTTGTCACAGAGTGCACAGAACTGGGTCCACTCCTGTGATGTCCAGGAAGCCACTTTCTGATGGTCACCAACAGCCAGGTCTGGGTCAGGCTGAAGCCAGGAGCCAGGCACTCCATGCTGGTTTCCCATGCGTGTGGCAGGGGCCCAAGGACTTGGTCATCCTCTGCCGCCTTTGCAGGTGCATCAGCAGGGAATGGAACTGCAAGTGGAGCGCTCCAATACAGGATGACGCTGGCATTGCAACTGGTGGCCTAACCCGCTGGGCTACAATGCGGCCCCTTAAACACCCAAACGACTTAAGGTGTCTGTCACTCCACAATTACTCACTTACCAGAGTTTTTCAATGAACTACAAGGCCGACAAGGTTTCTTCTGTGAATGACACATCTCACGGTGTTTTTATGCAGAGTGCACTGAGAATAGCTCACGGCTGACGTCCAAAGTCGTGCTCTCCGTAAGCAGTAAAAATCAGTGACAGCAAAGGTGGGCTCGCTCTGAACCCGGGCACTCAACCAGGACAGCGTGTTCTCGCTGGAGGGGACGAGGACGTGACGTCAATGAACGACACTATGAAGGCCCCCTTCCCAGCCCACCCAGTGTCCCGTCATCAAGGGGAAAGCTGCAGTGTGGAGGAAACGCTCGAATCTCGCTTCTGAGTGAGCAGCAGCTACTGGGCTCTTCTGTAAGCAGGACGACCACGCTTGTCACCGTCAGCGGAAGGTGTCTTTGGCTCAGCTGCATGTACGTAGCAAGCGAAGCCTGACTTTTTTTTTTTTTTTTTTTGATCAATTACTTGAAAGTTTCATGTTTTTATTTAGCTTTCTGACTCTGTGCTTGTGCCTTCAACACTTTCACAACAATTTTCTGCTCCTCGATAAGGAAAGCACGCTTGATCCTGTCACGGACACATTTAGCACACATGGAACCACCATAAGCCCTGCTGACGTGTTTTTTGGTTTTAGACAATCTCATCAGGACTTTAGGTCTCACAGCACGAACCCCACGAAGTCTGCCTGGGCACACCCCACATGCAGATTTGGGTGCCTTCCCAACCTTCTTAGTATAAAGGTAAACAATTCTGTTACCAGGAGTTCGGGACAGTCTGGTTTTGTTGGAGGCTGTATTGTAGGAGAGCCTCCGGCGGTACGTCAAACGCTGGACCATTGTGGCTGCGTCAGCTCAAAGAACCATCCCTTAGAGGTCTGGTCTCCCGCAACTCTTGGGATGGCGGCGGATCCTAAAGCCCATAAAGCCTGACTTTTTAAAAGGCTGTTCGTGTAAGACAGAAGATTCGAATAAAAAGAACAGTAAATAAAACAGATAGAGGCGCAGCTGAGACTTGCCCTTTTACACCTCCAGCTGCTCCCTCTGGAACTTGAAGACCCTCAGGAGAGTCCGGGAGCCAGGCTGCTCAGTGAGGCTCTGTGCGGCCAGCCGTGGGCCCAGAACACGTGAACTTGGGCAGGTTCACGAACTGCGGGTCTTCAGTATGCTCACCTGTAAAACGGGTATCATGCACACCACCCATCAACTCAACACACACGCCCTTCAGCTACTCAGTACCAAGCACTGGGAACGAGGAGTTAACAACATACCGGTTCCTCTAGAACAGGTGAATTTCAGGATGGAAGAGACTGATCAACATAACAATTATTCACAAGCCGAGCCCACTTCGAACATCCATTAGGCTTCAGGGGAGAGACAGAAAAGCAGGGACACCCTTGCTTTGGCGCTTTCTGAGGGGGTCTGAGCCTTGGGGGACGCCAAGGACGCAGCAGTCGGCCAAAAGACAGGATGGGGGGGCGATTCAGGCAGCCGCCAGGGGGTGGCACCCGGCTCCCAACTGCAAGAGCAGGCAGAGGCCACGGGCAGGGGGAGCCGGCAGGTTAGATGCTAATAAAGACTGGATCTTGGGGGTGGGCTCTAGGCACAGCGGGTAAGCTGCCTGGGGCCCCACCAGCCCACAGGAGTCGCCAAGTCGCCGCAGCCTCCGGCCGTGCGCACCCCGAGGCAGCAGGTGGCGGCTCAAGCGCCTGCCACCCACGTGCAAGACCCAGGGCGGGTTCTGGGCTCCACCAGGCTCAGCCCAGGCTGCTGGGGACGCCTGGGCGGCGAACCAGAACGGGCATCTCTGTTTCTTTCAGATTCATAAAATAACTTGAAAATGCCATTTTTCCATTGCTCTTTTATTTATACCCCATACATTCCTTGTCCTTGAGAAATTAACATCACAAAGCTGGAGACACACCACAGACAACACCGGCGTCTAAGGACATTCTAGCAACACGGGGGGCTTCAGGGCAGGAGCCCCGGGGGCCTCCCGGCTTCCTAAAAGGTCACTTTCGGTCCAGCTCTGCGGAGCGCGGTCGGTGGGGGCGGCTCCCGCAGGGGCTGCGGACGGCCGGGGGCACACGTCCCGCACACCCGCGCGGCCCGTGACGGCCCCTCGCCGCGCCCCGCGCCCGCCCAGACGCGGGGAGCTCGGGCTCGGGCAGGGAAAGCCCTCCGCCCCGCGGCGGGCTCGGCTCGCGCCGTCGCCACCGCCCGCCACAGACCGGCCCCGCCGAGCGCAGAGCCGGAAAAGGAAGCCGCGGGGAGGCCGCTCGCGCCCCGCCAGCGCCCGCCGCGCGCCCCTGCCCCCGGCGAATCGCCGGCGGCCCTGCTCCGCCCCGGACTCAGGACTTGGCCGGACCTCGACGCTCCCGCAGCCGGCGGCCACGTACCTGAGACGCCCGGTCCACCACCGCCGCCGCCGCCGCCGAGCCCGCCCCCGCGCGGCGCCCACCGTGCGCCTGCGCGCGGTTCAAACCCCCGGGCCGCGGCGCGCGCCTCTCGGCCCGGCCCCTTTCCGTCCCGGGCGGGCCCGCCCCTGGGTCCTAAAGCCCGTGGCGTTCAGCAAGAGGCGGGGCGGGGGAGGGGAATGCTCGCGGTCCGTCACGCCGGCGCCTACAGAAGGGAGCGAGAACGCGCGGGGAGAGGAGCGCGCTCGCCTGGGCGCAGACCGTAGCCCCTGCTGCAGAAGGAACGCCGCGCTATGCTTTGGGGCGCGTGTCTGTTCTTTTGGGACCTTAAGGATTTGCCAGAGGACTAGAGCAGCCTGAGATGAACTCTGCATATCCTAGGGAACCCCGAGAGATTGACCCCGATGGCTCCCCGGTCACGCCCTTTCCGTGTTTCCTGTGATGTTAGGCACAGGTGCCGTCGATCAAAACCAGCCAAAGTTTATTGATTGCAAGCTGGGGAGAGCGCGTGAGAAAACAGTGAACCTGGGAACTGCACACGGATGTGTCGCCAGCCCCGCGGCGCGCAAGGAGTTAAGTGGGACGGAGAAGGGGCGGAGTCAGGTGCCGGGGGAGGGCCCTGGAGCCTCCCCGCCCCAGCTGGTCCTAGGAAACGTTGTTAAACAAAGCTTCTGACCAATAGCGCTGCAGAGTCGACGCCAGTGGCTCGCGGGCCGTCCAATGGGAGCAGACGTGGAGTCGCACGCCGAAGCCGCGCTTCCGGAACCGCGGTGGGCGTGGCTGCAGCCGCGGCCCGGCCTCTGTGGGAGGGGGTTCGAGCAGTTCTGGTTCCGTCTCGTCGGAGACTGGGCTATGTTTTCCTCAGGCGCCTGGGTCCGGCCGCGGGCCTGGGAAGCCAGCCCCGCGGAACACAGGCAGTGGGTGGAAGTAGGTGTCCGGAGGGCGACTTCAGCTTGGCCCGGGGCTCGGACGAGTACCTTCGCGCTGGTGGTGTAGACAACCGGGCGGCCCCTCCGACGGGTCGGGGGTCGAGATCGAGCCCACCCCCGCCAGTCCTGGCTCCCGGTCGGGTTCTCGGGCCACTTCTGAGTCCCCTCTCCCGTTTCCCCGCCCCTGACTTGGAATCCGCGTCTCCTCGGCGCTCACGGCGCCCTTCGCTCATCCGCCCTAATCGCAGGACTGAATCTTGAGTAGGATTTATCGCAAAGGTGTAAAAGCCATTAATTTGCATTAGTCTACGGGTTCACTCGTTTCCACTTTTTTTTTTTTTTTTTTTAGTCCATCATTAACATGTTTTGAGAACTAAATTAGGATGATGGGACGCGCATTTCCTTCTGGGCCGAGTTTCGGACTTGTAAGGTCTAGATAGCCCGTCACTAATAATAAAAAGGAAGAGAACAAACAGGTGCTGTCTCGTTAACTGCGGGTGTTTGGTGTCCCTCAGGTATTCAAAGCTTGCGACGAGGACCACAAAGGCTACCTGAGCAGAGAGGACTTTAAAGTTGCCGTCGTGATGCTGTTTGGGTACAAGCCCTCCAAGGTAGGGCCCGGGCAGACAGGGCGGCAGGGGGAGGGTGCCGAGGAAGGCGCGGACAGCCACGTGCGGGCTGTCCCCAGTACTCCCCCGTCCCACCTGCCGGCCGCGGATGAGGATGGAGGCTGTGAGGTGCTGGGCAGGTGTCAGAGAAGCTGGGGAAGGGTGTTCATGCACACTCTCTCTTCTTGAGTTTAATTTCCCCCCTTTTTAAAAATTATAGGCTGGCACCGCGGCTCACTAGGCTAATCCTCCACCTGTGGCTCCGGCACTCCGGGTTCTAGTCCCGGTTGGGGCGCTGGATTCTGTCCCGGTTGCCCCTCTTCCAGGCCAGCTCTCTGCTGTGGCCCGGGAGTGCAGTGGAGGATGGCCCAGGCCCTTGGGCCCTGCACCCCATGGGAGACCAGGAGAAGTACCTGGCTCCTGGCTTCGGATCAGCGCAGCGGCCATTGGGGGTGAACCAACGGAAGGAAGACTTTTCTCACTGTCTCTCTCTCTTGCTGTCTACTCTGCCTGTCAAAAAAAATTATAAATAATATATTCATATAATAAAAAAGCCCCTTCCCTTCCTACTAGAGATCCCACTTCTCCGGGGTTCCCATTTACAGTCTCCTGTGTGTCGTTCCAAAATTTCCTGCCCATGACCCACATATATGCATGGCGTTCTATTGGAAACATGGAGGGCGTGTACTCTGCCAACTTTATTTTGGCTTCTCATCTAGTAGATCAGCCTGCTAGAACACATCACTGCTGTGTTGGAAAAAATGGCTTCACAGCACTCAGCCAGCCGGCTGGCTTCTGTTATCTGGGTTGTTTCCATTATTCTTCATTCCTACAAGCTCCTGCAGTGAGCATCCTTTTGTATCTGAAGACAGATGCAAAAGTGTTCATGTTCTTGTGGCTGTCTGGGACATTTTCAGAGAGGTGATTCCAGGCCATGCGATGTGTGCCTTTGACTTGGATATTACCCTGCAGAGAAGAGGCGCCGGTCACCAGGATGAGAGGCAAGCTGGGGCCCAGTGAGCCTCCTGCTTCAGGAGCACAGAGTTCCTGCTCACCCTGGTCTGGGTGCTGTCCTGGCCCCATACATCCATTCTGGACGTGAATGCCCTCTTGTTAAGATGCCGAACTGGAATCAATCAAGGTCAAGATCCTGTCCAGATCCAGGAACTCTGACTGCAACCATCGGGCGAAGGGAGGGCTCAGTAATGCAGTAATACACTGTGCACACACTTCACGGCAGGTAGCAGGTCTTTCTTTTCATACTGAGTTGAAGTTTTTTTTTTTTTTTTTTTTGGACAGGCAGAGTGGACAGTGAGAGAGAGAGAGACAGAGAGAAAGGTCTTCCTTTTTGTCGCTCCCCCTCTTCGTGGAGGAACGACACTAAACCCTGCGCTGTTCTTTTGTCTGCTCGGCCCTTCCCGGGTTTGCTGCTGGTTCTTCCCGGGTTGGCTGCCGATCCTTCCACCTCCGTGGAAGGGCGGCTCCCCCTGCCACTTTCCCCACTTCCGCGGGGGAGCGGCACACCGCCGGCCGGCTCTCTCGGGGGCTGCTCAGATGTTATTCGGATGTTCCCCTTAGATGTTCCTGGTGCATGTTGTCTCTCTCCTCCTTTATAGTCCTCTTCCACCAATCCCAACTCTGCTACCCAGATGCCGAGTACGGTGCTCTCCTCCAATCAGGAGCAGGATCAGCTCCTGCAGGTTATTGGTCGAACTGGAGGCAGCTGTGTAGAAGTTGTTTACTCCTCTTCCAGCACCATATTGTGGGAGAGCAGATGCATAGAATAAGTCTTAATTTCAGTAACTTAGTCTAGTCCAAATTGCTCCCCACACCTTTTGCTGTTGGTTCACCCTCCAATGGCTGCCGTGGCTGGTGCTGCGGCCCGCGCACTGCACTGATCCGATGACAGGAGCCAGGTACTTCTCCTGGTCTCCCATGGGGTGCAGGGCCCAAGCACTTGGGCCATCCTCCACTGCACTCCCTGGCCACAGCAGAGAGCTGGCCTGGAAGAGGCGCAACCGGGACAGAATCCGGCGCCCCGACCGGGACTAGAACCTGGTGTGCCTGCGCCGCAAGGCGGAGGATTAGCCTAGTGAGCCGCGGTGCCGGCCTTGTTTTCTTTTTTAAACAGCAAATGAAATATTTGCTGGTGGCAGGACCCTATTAGTAATGTACTAATAGAGCAAATCACCTAACAGTCATTTGTACAATGAACTTTTAATAAATAAGTGGCTCTTGCTGTATACCTTCCATGAAATTCTTACTAAAGGTTTATTTATTTATTTGAAAGGCAGTATCAGCATGACAGAGAGAGAGAGAGAGAGAGAGAGATCTTCCATCTGCTGATTCACTCCTCAGGGGCCTACAGTAGTCAGGGCTGGGCCGGTGGAAACCAGGAGCCAGGAACTCCATCTGGGTTTCCCTTGTGAGTGGCAGGAACCCGTGCACTGGGACATCTAGTGTAAACATTAGCAGGAAGCTGGATCTGAAGCAGAGGAGGTGGGACTTGAACCAGGCACTGCAATATGGGATGTGGGTGTCCCAAGCAGAGTTAATCTGTACCACAGTTCCCATCCCCTTAAGTGAAATTTAATAGATTTTTATTTTTATACTAGATTGAGGTTTAGGGTTTAATTTTTGAATATTGCTTTTGAACAAATGGAATGTTTACAGGTCAAGAAATGAGATAAAACTGCTGTCATTGAAAATGTTTATTCTTTGGAAATGCTACTTTAAGCAACCATACCACAACAGTAAAATGTTATTTTACAAAAAAGAACTTAGACAGTGAATGACTTACACTCATGCAGTTGTTCACACAGTGACATATATGTCTTCCTACTTAATAAAAGGAATAGTGACTAGTGCTGGAGATTTAAAGATGAACTAAACGTAGTCCTTACTTCGAAGCCGCTCAGGTTGGTGAGGCAGAGCTAGAAAACTCGGCGATTTAGGAGCAAAGCGAAGGGGATCAAGAAGGCCCTAATCCGGCGGTAACTGTGAGAGAGGCCGTGGGTGTCGCTGGGCCTGGAGAAGCTGGGCCACCCTGACAGGAAGCATCTGGGAACGGAGACGAGTCATGTCTGCTGACTGACGACGGGATTTCATGTCAGTAAGACACGCGTGACCACCAGGACTGAAGCCACGGGGGGCCACCACGAGAGAGGAAGTTCAGAGGAGCAGGTTCAGGGGAGGTCAGCTCAGACCGGGGCAGTCCAGACGCATCCAGTTGTTCAGAACTAGGCAGAGTACTGAGGTTACAGTGGTAGAAATCTCTCGGCTTTTACTGCCTCTCAGGACTTTGGAATTGGGTGGAGAGGTGAGGGCTGGAGGTAGATTTGGGACCCCTCAGTTTATAGGTGGGAGCTCAAGTCTTGAGACCAGATGGTACCACTCAAGGGAGTGTGGAGTCTGAAGAGCGGGGGTCTAGGGACAGAACGTAAAGGAAACCAACACGCCAGGGTGCTTGGGGCTTCACCAAGAAGATGGAGTGGGACCCATTTGGGAGGGACTTGAGGGACCAAGAAGGTGCAGGGAATTGAAATCTGTAGAGAGTTCAAGACTAAAGATGGAGAAGTTAGGTCAGAACCTCTAATGCAGGGTCTGCTTCCCTGATATAACAATATGGGGAAATGTTTGGGTTTTAATATTTAGGAACGTGAGTCCCCAAACTGTATATACCGTGTGTCCTCAAATACATTTTAAAACGCTATGGGGCAAGCACTTAGCCTACTCGTTAAGACATAGTGTCCCATGCGGGAGTACTTGGGTTTGATTCCTGGCTCCTGCTTCCTGCTTCCAGCTTCCTGCTAATGTAGACCTTGGGAAGCAACAATGAGACTGAAGTAATTGGGTTCCTGTTCCCCACCCGGGAGGCTTGGATTGAGTTCCCACCTCTTGGATTCAGCCTCTGCCCAGCCCAGCCAGCCATTGCGGACAACTGCGGGAGTGAGCCACTGGGTAGGAGTGAGCTCTTGGCACATGCGCTCTTGCTCTCTCTCTCTGCCTCTCAAATAATAAAATTTTTTAAAATACATGGGAAATAAAAGCTATACTAGACCAAAATATTAATAGTAGTTTTTACTGTGTGGTTTTTAAATTTTCTTTACAGTTTATTTTATATTTTCTACTTTTTTTAAGATTTTTTTTGTTTGTTTATTTGAGAAGTAGAGTTACGGACAGTGAGAGGGAGAGAGAGAGAGAAAGGTCTTCCATCTTCTGGTTCACTCCCCCAAATGGCTGCAATGGCTGGAGCTTAGCCGATGCAAAGCCTGGAACCAGGAGTTTCCTCCAGGTCTCCCATGCGAGTGCAGGGGCCAAGCACTTGGGCCATCTTCTACTGCTTTCCCAGGCCACAGCAGAGAGCTGGATCGGAAGAGGAGCAGCCGGGACTAGAACCCGGGTGCCAGTGCTGCAGGTGGAGGATTAGCATACTGTGCCACAGTGCCAGCCCCTATTTTCCACTTTCTAAAATATCAGTTGTGTTACTTTTATAATCAGGAAAGCAATAAAAAAATTAAAGCTATAGAGCTCATTGTAACAATTACTTGTATTTGTCCAAAGCAAACGTTTGCTTTTTTGATTAAGTTACGTATTGGACGCCCAAATTGATTTTCTGTGCTTAACCTGTCTTGGCCAATGAAATAAAGTTTTGGAACATTAGAGTCTGTAGCAGATTAGTATCTGGTATCTTACAGATGTTACTGTAAAACTTAAATGATGATCATAGCTATTGAATGAAATATAGCAAGATTGTTTTCTCATAAAATACACCCCTTCCCCTACTCCAGAAATTTAGAATTTATACTGTAAAAATTACATGTCCTATGACTCTTTCCTCTTTTCTAGATAGAAGCGGATTCTGTGATGTCTTCCATAAGCCCAGGCACTTCTGGTAATGTGAAACTTAATGTTCATTTTTAGTATCCTTATTTAGACTTTCACAAGACTAAAATTAAGAACAAACATAGAGACCATAAAGCATTAAGTTGAAGTCCATCTTTGTTTTGTTTCTCATTATTTAAAAGAAAGGTTTTGGTTCTTTTAATTTTCTTTCTTTCTTTCTAAATATGGTATGTTTATTATGAGAAATGTTTATGCTGTTGAAAAGACACAAAGAAAAAGTGTGACTTGTAATTCCAGCGGCCCAGGATGCCTCTGGGTTTTCTGTCCAGAGTAGTTGGGCCAGTGAAGTGGCATTTACTGAAATGGGAAGGCTGCGTGGGGGAAGAATAGGTTAAGTTGGAGAAGTGTCGGGTCCACTCTGTCGGAGCAGTCAGGCTGTAGGATGTGGAATTCGGAACTCCCTGGGAGTTGTCGCATGCATGTGGTTGTTGAAGCCGTGGGAGAGGATGAGACCATGGAAGGCACAGTGGACTGAGAACCCTAGGGCCTGTGCTCATCAGGAGTCAGGTAGAGGATGAGGAAATGACACAGGAGACCCAGAGAAAACCAAGGAAAACCAAGAGTGTGAGGTGGAAAGTGAAGAGAAACGGGGATTTCAGTGGAGAGAGTGTGGTCAGCACTATCCAGTGTTGCAGGAAAATCAGGTAGCATAGGAACTGAGTGTGTCCGTTGGAGTTGGCGACCTGGAGGTGTTCGGCGACTTTAACGAGGAATTTTAGTACGTCGTGTGGGCAGAGGCCGGCTAGAGTGAGTTGAAGATAAATAGTGATAAAGTGTGGCAGTGTGAGTAGACAGGTCTTTTAGTAACTCCAGAGTGGCATGTATCAAGGTTGTTGTTTTTTTCTTTAAAGAATGTGAGAGCATATTTCAAAGCTTAGCCAAAATGATCTAGTGAAGGGGAAGAGAGAGGGAGAGGGAGCGGGAGAGATGAATGTTGTATAAGGGCATAGGATCCAGAGCATGCTGGATTGGCTTTAAAAATGACCTCTTTTGGGGCCAGTATTGTGGTGTAGTGGGATTGGCTACTGCCTGCAATGCTGGCATCCCATATGGGTGCTGGTTTGTGTCCTGGCTGCTCCACTTCCAATCCAGCTCCCTGTTAATGGCCTGGGAAAGCAGCTGAAGAGGGCCCAAATGCTTGGGCTGCTGCACCCACGTGGGAGATTTGCAAAAAGCTCCTGGCTCCTGGTTTCAGTACGGCCCAGCTGTGGCTGTTGTGGCCATTTGAGGAGTGAACCAGTGGATAGAAGACCTCTCTCCCTCTCTCTGCCTCTGCCTCTTTGTAACTCTGCCTCTCAAAAAAATAAATCTTAAAAAAAAAAAAAGAAGGTAGGATCTGACTGTGTTGCTTAAAAGAAACATACTCTAAATATAAAAGCACAATAATTTTTAAATAAATGGATGGAAAAATATATATTAAATGTGAATTTCAAAATTTTTTGCACCCAAGTATACTTGCCTTTTAATTCTGTTTCTGTAAACTTTTTCAGGTAAGCTCATACTTCATTGATGCTGATCAAAAGAAATCTAGATTTGAGTCTATTAATATCCAATGAATCAAACTTCAGAAAAAGGATATTACTAGGAATAAGGAGTATCATTTAAAAATGCTGAAGGTGTGGATTTGTCAGGATTAAACAGTTCTAAATATTTATACCCCTAATAGTGAAAATTCAAAATATATGAAGCCAGAAACTGATAAAAGCTATAAAGGAGACTAGGTAAATCCACAGTGATGATAGGAAGTTGCAAAATCTCATCAGCAATAGTGCTTGCTAACGGACGTCAGTTCTGTAAGGATCTTGAGGAAGTGAATAACACTTTCAACCAACTTAACATAATTGTCATCCATAGAATACCCAGCAACACCATACATATCCTTTTCAAGTCCATATGGTATATTTAATAAGATTGAGCATATGTTCTGGACCATTAAACAAATGTCAGTACACTTAAGATACAAACCATGTTCCTTGTGAAGGAATTAGAAAGTAATAGCAAGGGCTGGCGCTGTGGCATAGTAGGCTAAGCCTCCACCTGCAGCACTGCCATCCCATATAGGCACCAGTTCGTCTCTCCACTGCTCCTCTTCCTATCCAGCACTGTGCTTTTGGCCTGGGAAAATAGTAGAAAATGGCCCAAGTGCTTGGGCCTCTGCACCAGCTTGGGAGGCCCAGAAGAGACTCCTGTCTCCTGACTTTGGATCAGCCCAGCTCTGGACATTGTGGCCATTTGGGAAGTGGACCAATGAATGGAAGACCTTTTTCTCTGTCTCTTCCTCTCTTTGTAACTCTACCTCTCAAATAAATAAATAAATCTTAAAAAGTAATAGCAAAAGATGTCTGGAAAAGCCCAAAATATTTGGAAACTAAAGCACACTTAATGGGTTAAAGAAAAAATCTAAAGGGGAAAGTTAAAATATCTGGAGTTAGATAAAAATGAAAATATAACATTTTAGATTTTATGGGATACATTGAAAGTAGTACTTGGAAGGTGATAGTGATAAATTCCTACATTAGAAAAGATGGAGTCTTAAACTGATGACTTTAGCTTTCACTTTTCATTACAAAAGGAAGAGCAGATGAGGCCCAAAGTAAGTGGAGGAGAAGCAATAACAAAGTTTAGAATGGAAATCAATGAAATTGAAAAGAGAAACACTAAAATACGGATAGTTAAAAGCTGAGTTTTTGACATGTTCTAGTCAGCTTTTGGGCACTACAACGAGATTCATGAAACAAGCTACTTAGGGAGAAAAAAGTGGTTTATTTAGCTCATGGTTTTGGAGTTTTAAGCCTAATATTGGGTGGCAGCACTGTTGTGGCCTTTGGTAAGGGTAGTGGATGGCCACCACAGAGCATGTGGGAAGGAAGGGCCATATGGAGAACCAGGAAGCAGAAAGAGAGGCAGATTTAATTCAGCTTCTGTAACCAACTCTCCTGAAAGCACCTTCCAACGACATGGCCCCAGTGGTCTAAGGACTGCCCACAGGCCCACCTCATAAACTTGGATTACGCTTCTGCCTTCTTAGTCATGTTAACTTATGACATGGAGGTTTAAAAGGCCTGTATGAGTTGGGAGCCAAATAATTTTCAAACTGTAGCAGGGTGCAATCATAGAATTGAGAGACTGTCTCTACACTGAGCAGGAACAAAAAGAGAAAAGGCATAGATTACTAATATTAGGAATGTGAGAGGTGATATTTGTAACTTATGAATTCTACAGTTACTTAAAGGATGATAGGAATATATTATGAACAGATTTATGTCAACAATTTAATAAATAAACTGACCAACTTCCTTGAAAGATGCATACTACCAGAGCTCACTCAGGAAGAAACAGATAACCTGAATAGTCCTATCTCAAATATCTCAAAGCAGTTGTTTAGTTAAAAGGCCTTCTCCCAAAGAAAACTGTAGGTCCAGATGACTTTGCTGGTGAATTCTACCACATATTAGAAGAAATAATGCCAGTTCTATACAAACACTTCTGAAACTCTGCAGTCATGTGTTCTGCTCTCTGACTCTTCTATATATTTATTAAATCTGGATAGAGAAAGCATTCTTTTAGCAATAACATTTATTTCTCTGGTAATTGGTTATTCTCTTGCTTTGCATATTGTGAAATTTTACATACAGAATACATTGAGAAATGTAAAAAGAACAAATGGAAATATCTTGTTTATGTAACATTCTTGTTTGTGATATAAAATGAATGATACAAGTTATTGATTCTTTTCACTTACTTAGACTTGCCTTGTAGACAGTTATGAATTCTATTTTGGTAAATTTAATGTAAATATTATTTCCACAGAATCTTCCTGATGGCGGTATTATTGAAGAATTAACACTAACCATTGCTTGTTTCCTGAGGAGCTATTTAACTTACTAAGCCACAACCATTTTTATATCTCAGAAAATATATATCTTTGATCTTATTAAATATTTCGCTTATATTTAGTGTATAATATTTTGGTGATATCTAGGTTGAAAAGCTTTTATTTTTTGCAACCAAAGTTTGGAACCACATATGAATTATAACTTTTATAAAAATATTAATGCTAGAACATGTTTTTGATGTAACTCCTAACTTGATAGAATTTTCCCAGGTTTTTAATTTTTTGTTGAAAATTTTCACACTTTAAAAATATTGGGTTTTTTTGATATTCAATTAGTTGTATACCTATTTAAGTCTTAATTACACTTTTCTCATGGTTTCTGGTATTTGAACCTATAAAAAGTTCTGTTTCTGGCAGGAGGACTTCCCACACTCTCTGCTTTAAGTTTCTCACCTCTGAGAGTCTCCTGATAGTCACTGAGTTATTCTGTCTGCATGAAGGTCTTCCCCTATTCGTTGTATTTATAGTGTTTCTCTGTTACATGACTTTTCTGACATACTGAGTGCGACTTTTGCTGAAGGCACCTTAGTGTTCATTATTATTTTGTTCCTCGTGTTTGTTCTTTAATTTTGAGTTAAGGATTTGGCTTCATAACGAAGGTTTCTTAAGCAGTTTTCTGACATACAGAGAGGTATAAATTCTGGAAGAAAGACTCCCCGAATTCTCTACATCTATAATGAGGGGTTCGATGTAAAGAGTGACTCCCACAGGTCTTTAATCTGCAGTCAGTACACTGAGAGGTTTCCTTTCCATACGTGCCCTTTACATTTAGGAAGATACAACTGCACAGAAAGGCTTTGCCCCGTGTGTCGCACTCATCCGGTTTCCCTCCTGTGTGAGTCCTGGCAGGTTTTCCCACCTTCTGTACGCTCTGGACTTCCTGTGTGCGAGTGCTCTGGTAACAGTGTAAGGACAGATTCACGGTAAAAGGACCCTCTTGGGGTGCCAATGATACTTTCCTCGTGCGTATTTTCTTTCTGCAGTTTGACTCGTGGCTGAAGATACCTTATGTTCAGAAAACTACAGGATCTCTCCTCCTGCGTGAGTTCTCGTGCAGGATCATTTCTCACACTTGCCGCAGTCATGGAGTTTCC